TATTATAATCCGTTTTTCAGTTCCTATTAATATTTTGGCTTGAAAAGGATAGTCCGATGCAACACCAATTCCTCTCTCTTTTATGTATCTAAGTGCTTTTGGTATTGTGGCACACTGTCATTTAGAGTCTCTATCCTCTTCAATGCCATCCTTTGGATATCTTATATAAAGCCAATCTATCAACTCTTGCACTGCTAGCAAGATCATTTGAGGAAATTGATACACAATTTGTAGTCAGCTCTGCACTACTCCTTCTACGCCCATCGCCTAACAACAACCTTAAGAAAATAGAAACAAAACCAAACACCAGAAAATAAAAAAATATATTTTCTGAAAAATATTTTACGTCTAAACAAACGGAGCCTAAAACAAAAATTTTGTTTAGACATACTCACTGCAATGCCATTGGTTCATAACGGGAGAAATCACTCATTTCTTCTTCCAATCCACAGAGGATGGAATAGTGGAATCATGTATACAAAAATAAAAGTCCAAAAGCTTTAGACTTTGAAACACAATAAAATAAAATTTGATAAAACTCACTAGGCCCGTCCTCACAAAAGTTTACATAATCTTCAATTTAGATACAAAACTTCTTTGTTAAAATCTTCCTTTGATCCATATAGGAAAAGGTTGCAATAGCAAGGGATTCATGCACGTACTTCCAAAGGTCCTTTATCATTATCCAGGAAAAATGTTAAAATCACTAGGAGCTTATGTTATTCATGCCACTCTTTATTGGTTCAGGCCTTCATCAGCCTGCCAAACCTATCTAGTGGGCTAACCAAAGTGGGTTAGACAGGCCTCGAACTGGTGGACTGGACTTTAAACTGGGTGGGCTATGCACAATAGGCCTAATGTTTTACCCCTAAGCTCATTATAGACTATTTTTTATTTTATTATTTATTTATTTATTTATTTTGTCTCTTTGTGCTAAATATAAACTTGCAATTTAAATTTCTCAGTTAAATCATCACTACAAAAAATTCCATAAATAACATATTTACTTCTAGACTTATCTTTTCCACTTTATGCAAACAATAAAGAGTGGCATGGGTACGATAGATGATTGGGTTTTCTTTGAAAAGTACACATTTGTAATTTTATTTTTATGTCCAAATTCGTAAATTAACTTAGACTCAATTTATTTAGATATAGGGGTAATTAGAATAATACCCCCTGAGGTTTGCTATAATGACAACTATATACAAGTTAGACCATTTTTGAACGATGACACTCCATGTCAAAATTTTTGATCCAAACAGGTCCTTAAAATGTGAGAAAATACTAGATTGCCCTTCAATAAAATACTAATTTTTTATTTAAAATATCTAAATCTTCAAATGACATAATTACCCTTATTAATCCCAATTTTCTCTCACCATCCTCTCTCACTGAAAACCCAGAAATTTTGCCCCCAGAAACCACCACCATCACTTCCACCATTACCACCTCCACCCACTCACCATTGCCACTTTCACCAAAAAATGAAACAGATAAATTGCAAATGGGTTTAGTGAGAATTATTGCATATGATTATTATTATTTTTTATAAGTAATAATCAATGTTGTCCCTGTGCCCATCCAAGGTGTTTCTTCAATTTTGTGGGTAAATATATATATATATATATATATATATATATATATATATATATATATATATATATTTCTTGAAAGAACGAACAGGGGTGATAGTGGTAGAGAGAGTGGAGGCGGCGCCAAGCCTTCGTCGAAGCATCCACTGGCCGTGGAGACTCGGCGGCGAGCTTGCGAGCAAGGTGGAGAGCTCAGCTGTGGATGAACTACGAGTAAGGCGGTGACGTACTGGCTGTGACAGCTTGATGGAGCCGGTGGAGACGGGTTCGCTAACTGTGACGGTGAGCGAGAAGGGACTCTTGGCTTTGATGATGTCCACTGACAGGGACTCACGGCTTTGATGATGTCCACCGACGGGCAAGGAGAACTCGGCTATGGATGATCTGCGACTTGCAATGAGAGCGTCGGCAAGCTCAACCGGTGGCTGTAGACGAGTGAGACAGATCCGGTGAGGGAGGTGGAGATCAGCTGTGGTTGAGGAGAAATGGTGGTGGTATAAGGAGGGAGATGATGGCGGTGATTGTGGTCGAAGAGAGATGGCAGCTACGGCTGTGGTTGGGGAGGTGGCGACGGCAGATGTGGTTGGGGAGAGGCGGTGAAGACGAATCAAGATGGTGGCGGCGGATGTAGATGGGGCGGTGGCAAAGGTGGAGGAAGAAGGCGGTGAGATTGTGGAAGTGGAAAGAAGTGGTGGACGTTACAATGGAGAGAGCGTGGAAGTTGCGGTGGTGTAGAATGGTAGGTGGGTGGCGACGGTGCTGCGATACTTTTCTGTTAGACTTTGTTATATATATATATATATATATATATATATATATATATGATGGTGCTGATGTAATGGTAGATATATATAAGGGCAAAATTGACTTTTCATAAGTTCTGATATTTTACCATAAAAATGAATTAAACATTGAAGGGCAATTTCGTCTTTTCTAACATTTTAAGGGCTTGTTTGGATCAAAATTCTCACAGAGGTGTCTTTGTCCAAAGAAATGGCTAAGTTGTATATGGCTGTCAATATGTCAAACCTTAAGGGGTGTTGTTGAAATTAACCTTAAAATATACTATGATATATATGCAACTTATACAAGGGTGAAAATCACCTCCAGTCACACAGTATGCCATTTCCACCATTTTGAAATAAGTGGAGGAGAATTAGCCACATTAATTAAAAATCTTGGGTAACTAAATTTTCACCACCCTTGTATTTTGTATATATAAGCTTTAAATATTGTATTCCATATATATAAACACATTTAAATATTGTATCTAAAATACACTTTTCTTCCAAAATGTCATCTTCTTCCTTTCTCTCTCTAAAAGCTTCATCAGCTTCCATTAATAGACTCTCCAAGGACTCACAGTAATTTTTTAATTTCAAAACTTCACTTCAAAACCCAAATACACTCCAAAAACCCATGTAATTTCACTGGAGTATTATGCGAGTATTATGCGAGTATTATGTAGAAACTTCAAAGTATCATCCATAGATCTAAACTTTATTCATATAAATCTCGATTTTTGATCTGTTTTTTCTTATCTGATTAAAGAGCACAAACATCACTGGTTCACACTTTTTTTAGTAAAATTTTGTTGGGATTTTATGTATAACGTAAGCATGAAATATAGTTAGTACTGCTTGGGATACAAAATACGTATTGCTTGGGATGTTAAGTAGGATTATGTTGGGATGTTATGTACAATTTATATTGACTTAAATTACAAACTGTTGGGATGTTATGCACAAATAATCTATTAGGATTATTTTGGGATGTTGTGCACAACTTATATTGACTTAAATTATAAACTGTTTGGGATGTTATGCAGTACACAAATAATTAAACAAAAAAACCATGCCAATCCAAATGTTCCAATATTGCTATGTTAATTTGGAATAAAATGACCTAGTATTGGAAGAAAGGGAAGTAAAAATTTATGGAAACAAATGAATGGTGAAATAGATCTGAGAAATTTATGGAAACAAAGGAATTGATAAATAGATGTGTGATTTGCTTGTGATTCGTTTTGGAAACAAATCAAAGAGAATTATTGAGGTTTGAAAGAAGAAGAAGAAAATAACTAAAAATACGATCTCTTTCTCTCTCTAACTTTCTTTCTCTGAAACCTCTTTGAAATCTTTGGCAAATCTAAGTAAGGCGGGATTTGGGTTAATTGAAGCATTCCAAATATCCACGCAAATTGCAAAATCTAGGTTGCTTAAATATTTTGGAAAGAAATCAAAATCTAGATTGCTGAAATGGCGAGATTTTGGAAAGAAATCAAAATCAATATATTGGGTGAGAAGAAAATGGCAGGATTGGGGTTGCTGAAAATAAGGGAAGGAAGAAGAAATAGTAGTTGTGAATAGTGTATATATATATATATATATATATATATATATGGAAATTGTGTATAAAACAAATAAATATTTGTATCCACCTTAGTAACTACTGTTCATCAACACAAAAAGGAGGAAATGGGCTACTGTGGGACTGGAGGTGATCCTGGTCCCTTATACAAATCCACTAAAGTACGAGAAATTTATCATTGCAATCATTACAAAGAAGACATGGTGCAACGGATGGTTAGAAACACTCCATCAAAGCAAAGTGGAACTACAATAAAACCAAAAAACATCATATACTTTAGTGAATTATTTATAACCCTCCCTTGTACCACGCTACTATCGTTATAATGATTGCAATGAATAATTTATCCTAAAGTACGCGTGAAATTTATAGACTGTCATCTTTTCTTTAGGGATTAAAACTTTTTTCATTTTCATAGCTTTCCATTTTCATATTTTTAACTTAAATTGTGTGTAAATCATATTTGTACTTGGTCTTTCTTAAATGCTCTATTTAATAAGGTGGAAATAACAAAAATGAGAGAAAGTTGAGTCTTTTTCAATAGTTTGTGTGTTTGGATAGTAATAAATAAATTTTTTTTTGAAAATTTTCTGGTAACTATCTAATTATAAAACTTTCATAAAAATTTGATAGTTTGGGAGTTTGGATGGTATAAAATAAAAATTTTCATAGAATTTTTTTTTTCACACACAACTATCTAATTACTCATAAAAATTTCCTACGAAAAAAAATTTATTTTAAAAACTTTTAAAATTTTTTATTAGAAATTTAGAATAACATTATTTATTCTCTCGAGTTTCATATATTACAAACTATGAAACGCTAATTTTTCACATCAATTTTATTTATTTTTAAAAATTGTACCAATCAAATAAATGTTGGATTGTATTTATTTTATTCACCTTACTCAAGCGCAACCAAATAAATAAATTAAAAAAATAAAACTTAAGAAGCAAAGAATTTAATCCCGCATATTCGTATTTTCATTTTAATTTTCTGATATAGTGGTATGCTTAATAATGAACCTTATCCCCGTTAAAAAGTGATAACTCTATCTCTCGTATATACAAAGTTACACTGCACACAAACATACATACGGCTGTTTCACCTCCCAAAACTCAACCTATAATTATAAATCCGCTCTCTGCAATCTGCAATCTTTCAATGGGTTTTCTACCCTCAATCTGACAAACCCACTTCCAAAATCTTCCTCCATTTTGGATTTAGATTAGTTTTTTTTACCTATCCCGTGAATTTTCTCGGAGATTTTCTCTTACTTTCCCATCTGGGTTTCATCGGAAAGATGGGAAAAAATCAAGCTTACAAAGCTATGCAAAGAGCGAGGCTGGGTTCGAGCTTAGCCGGCCCCGACGAGATCGAGGATGGCATGGTTTGTCCCCTTTCATACTACTAACCCTTTTCTTAGTTTATCATACAAATTGATCCCAAATTCCATATTTCAATTATTATTATTTTTTTTGTTGCTAGCTTAATAATTTGTTTATTTATTTTGAATTAATGGTAGTTTTTTTTTTTTTTTAATTGTTCGTTATGTGTTCAATGGATTTGTATCCAATTTTCTGTGAAAATTGCATGTTGCTGGTGACTTTATTTAGGTTGGGTGTTTAATGTGTGAACTTCAAGAGGATTTTAAGTTAGCAGATTCTTAAGAGCTTATTAATACTTTATATTTTGTTCTTTAAGTTTGTTTGCTCAAATATCTTAATTGAATGTTCAAATCTCACAATTGAAGGTCTTAAAGTGTGGTTGCTTACAATAAATGTGAGGATAAGTGTCTATTACTTGTAAGACTACGTGTACCCAACTCAATACACACACCCACTATGTCCCAATTGGGATTTGGAATTTGAAACCTCAATCTCTCATATGAGAGGATGAAGAGATATTAGTTGAGCTAGAGGCTCAATGGTAGTTTTATTGCTAATATCTGATAAGTATCGGCTCAAATAACCAAGTCACAACTGAAAGGAATGATATTCTTCAGTTTGATTAAGCGATATCATCATCATCATCATCATCATCATCATCATCGTCATATTGCTGCCCTAATACCATCTGAATGGGGTCAGCCACATGAATTATCTTTTTCCATTCTTCTCTATACTTGCTATTTCACTTCCTACATTTGATTCTCTAAAATCATTTCTAATAATTTCCTCCCGTGTTAATTTTGGTCGCCCTCTTCGTCTCTTACCATCTATGAGAACTAACCTCATTCTTCTTCTTCCCGGCGCATATATGGGTCTTCGTTGAATGTGCCCATACCATCTAAAGTTTTCTCTCTTGTATTTTTCACACTAATAGGTGTCACTCCTAATTTTCTCTCGCCCTGTTATTTATAACAGTATCTCTTTTAAATTAAGTGTGGTATTGGAGTGAAAATTTTAAGGAATGCATTGTGCACAGAGTGGTATCTCTCAGGATCAAGCGTTATGCAAAACCAAGATTTTTATATGCACTTTGGATAACGCTCCTGTATACCAATTCAACGACACATGGTGGAATCCATCTTGTCGAAATGAGTCAGCGTTGGTTATTTTAAATGATATGGGATGATATGACTAATCTACTGTCTAAGGTTGCAGCTACAAATTTATGTATCAATAAAGATTTAGTAGGTCTTCTTTTCAACCATGCATCACAAAAATATATGGTCATGACTGAAATGGAGTTCCATTTTATGATATCTCGAAACTTCTTGTAATATATATATTTTTGATAAGTAGAAACTTCTTGTAATATGCTAAGGTAAAACCATCAAGTGTATGAATCGGTTGCCTTCTGAATCTGAAATGGCCCATATCACTTTTATTATCCTCAAAGGGCTTTGATATGTCATGGAAGCTTAAGACTTGGGCTGGTTTTGAAAAGCTCTTTTGGTTTAGAGGGAAGTTTTTTGGTAGTTGTATCTAGTCTTATATTTGGTATCTGTGGATTTAGTTATGGTATTTGTAATTAAAAGAAAGGAAAATAAGCTATTGTGCTTTATTTTAGAATTTAATGTGGCAAATAATTTCATCTTACAATATTTATCAAAAAAAATAATTTCATCTTACAATAGCATTCACGTTTTCCCTTTAGTATGCTTTTGTAGGTGGTTTGAATAGATTTGATTCAAGAGGTTGAATTGTTTGTCAAAAGGTTTCTGTCTTAATAACGATTGTAGCCTTGTACGAAGCCCTAACAATAAAATTAGAAACGTGGAGAAATAATTAAGAGTGAAAAGGCTTAAAATAGTAGGATTAAAACCAGATATATTGGATGTAAATCTAATTATGTTTAAAAAAATGGTAATAAAAAGATAATGATTCAAGATCAAATGAGTACTCGAAATAATATATTTAGGACTTGTAAAATGGAGACAGATAATGATATAATTAGTAGCATTGTAGAAAGTAGCATAAATGGAGTCCAGCTATTGATGTTTTGTGTGATTAAAGAATATCAAATAAGTTAAAAAAAAATACTCTATGGGACAATCATTATACTAAAAATCTTATGTGGAGTGGAGTGGAGTGTTCAAAAAGTAACATGAATGATGTGTTCATGCTACTTGCATATGAAGGGTGAGACAGATGATAGGAGTGACTAGAAGAGGAAGGGTTAATAATCAGTGTGAAGAAGAAATTAGGGGTGACGCCTATTAGTAATAAAATAACAGATAGCAAACCTAGGTGGTATGGATATATAGTGTATACTTGTGGATCACAGGTTAGTTTGTATAGAAGGTAAGAGACAAAGAAGCCAACTAAAACTAACATGAGATGCAGTAATTAGAAATTACTTTAAAAGATCAAATATAATAAGAAAATTGGCTTGTAATGGAAAAGAATGGAAAAAGATAATTCCTTTGACTGACCCCCATATGAGGATGAAGGCACGGATGATGATTTATCTCTTTAAAAGCCTCATGATTAGAACATTTCCTTCATTCTTCTAAGTGTGATTGTTTGGGATATTGTAGGTGATTGTTTTGGAAGTCGTAAAATTGAACTACTTTTTTTGTTTCTTCTTGGATTGTCTTTTTTGTTTTTTCCCTTCTCTCTCTCCTCATCATTGGCTTCTTGTTCATTTTTCTCCTAATTTCATGGTGATTAAACTGCCTTTGTTGAGTTTGAACTCAATCAAGATTAGAACCACTAGAAAGCCACAATAAGTCTTGATCCCATTCCAAAATAGTTCTTTTTGCGAATCCTTTTTCTTACCACTTATAAATCATTCTACAAGAGACATAACCCTAATTCCTCATTATAATACTAGTTTCTGAAGATCTTTTATCAATTATATCAAACTGTTCTCAGTTGAAACTTGTTTGGCTGCTGCTTCTAGAGCTTCTCCGAAATGGTTCTATTACACCACCCAATTTTAATAGATAATGACTTGAATCCTTTTTCTCTGTTATGAAGTTCAATCCTCACTGCTTTCAGGATCTTAACATTAAAACGTTTGAATTTCTTGCTCTATGAAGAGAAAAATAACTTTGCCTTCTCTAGAATGGTTTCATTTGCATGCATTACTCAATGTTGTTTGGTTAGGTGAAATGATGATTTTGTTTGTTTTTTCTGTTTAGTTCCATATTCATACCACTGAATGTCATTATGTCTATGACTTCATCAGTTTTACCATTTTTTAAAAAAAGAATTTTTACTATCCAAAAAAAATTTTTTTTTATCAATTTTCACTCAAAACTTTATTATGGATTTATTATGGATCCATTAACCTTTTGGAGTAAAATTTTAGAAAGTATTGCCGTTGTTGGGTTTATCGAATTGCTAAATTTTGATTTAGTTTCCCAACTTATATTCTAGTTTGATAAATGTTGACCAAGTCCTCTGGCACCTTGTGTATTCTCTTGGGAGTGCTCCCCTTTTGAGTGCCTTCAATCAATTCTTAATTATAAAAAAATAAAAAAAAATTGATAATTTAAGTAGCATGAGCACATTTAAAAAAGAGCCATTTTGATGTCAGGAACAATGCGCATCTGTCATGGCCAAACTTTTAGACACCTCCCAAATGTCTTTTGAATATCATTATAAGTTTCTTGATGTGGGCATTTGACCTGCAAACTGTCTGTCCTAGTTCGAGATTCAGTCAAAACTTTGGGGTGTGGCTATTCTGTGTAAATAGAAGTATATGATTGTGGAGACAATTTTATAATATGAGGGAGGAGGATGACCACAAGTGGTTGGTGTATCCTATCTAGGGATGCGAACTGGGCAGATTTGGGACCGGTTTCTGGAAACTTACTTCACCCTGTTAGATAAATACATTGTCTCACACCCACCCCAAATGTGGGACCGGTTGAACAGAGTGCACAGCCCCGTCGCTGACCCGTTTAATGTGCGAGAACCCAGTTTTGAGACTTTAGGGATATGATGACTTGAGAACTGTGGCGGCTTATGGCTTTGGAAGATTGAAGATCCCAGGTCGTTGGCAAATAGCCGATCAAAAGGCTTGGAGGCACTAGGCTGAGGCGCAAATCGCCATTCGCTGCTTTTGGAGTAGTGTTGATTGGTAAGATGGTGAGGGAGGGTGAGAAGCAGAGCGTGGGGGTGGGGGGTGACGTGAGAGATCATGTGGGGAGTGTGTTAGGATTAGAATATCTGATATATATATATATATATATATATGTATATATATATAAATAGGGTTAGATATGTTAATATATTATGTAAATGTGAAATACAAATATATATTCAAGGCGGGGTGGGCTGAAACAGAATAAAACCCATCCTTGGCCTTGAACCTGGATCGGGTTTTATCATCTGTTCCAATATGCACCCCAAACCCTATTAAAAGTGTCCCATACCGGTCCCAATAGTGGCAGGGCGGGATGGGTGAAATTGCCACCCCTTCTATTGCCGTGAAAGGGGAGATGCAGTGTTCAAGTCCCATTGGGTGCAGGTGTATTTGTTAACTTTTAAACAAAGGAAAGGAAGGGAGAGAGAGAGGAGGATGTTTTAGTATTCTCATTGTGCTAATGTTACTTTTTTTAGAAGTGTGCCCATGTTACCATTTTCGTTTGTATTCTTTAGAATTTGCCATATCAGCATCATTGCAGTGGGGAATGAAGCTCACTTTTCTTATTTGGACTTTATTGCTTTATAGAACTAGCCAAATCAACCAGTTAATGGCTGGTTTTGTTCTTGGGTTGATCTTTCCCATGTTGTATTTTACCCCCAAAATGGAAGATAACTTTACATGCTAATATTTGTGGATGTACTTTATGGAGCATTAGATAACCTCTGCACTTGATTGGCTTGCCGTTCATGTATCCATATTTGTATGTGTGAGCATGCTTTTACATTACAGCAACACAGTTTCAATGTTCCTCATGCATTCATGCATCAATAGACATCAAATAGAGAAGAAAGTATTTGGATTGTCTGGGTCCTACTAATGTCAGGAATTAGTGGATGTGAGGTGTTGTGTTGACAAGGTTTCATTTTTTCCCTTTCTTTCTTCTGATAATAAACAGATCAAAGAAAGACAAGGGCCTTATTTGCAGAGTGCACACACTTTGAAATGTTTCTTGACCATTCATGCATCATTAGACATCAAATAGAGAAGAAAGTATCAAGGGTTGGATTGTCTGGGTCCTACTAATGTCAGGCATAAGTGGATGTGAGGTGTTGTGTTGACAAGGTTTTATTTTTTCCCTTTCTTTCTTCGGAGAAATGAACTCATCAAAGAAAGGCAAGGGCAAAAGCCTTATATGCAGAGTGTAGAGGGGCCTGTGAAGCTGAAAACAGGTTACAATTCCAAAAATATTGAAAAAGAAAGCCTAAATAGGAAAAAAAGGAAATCCAAGAGAATCTGAAAACATTCTTAAATCAAGAATAAGATTTCCTTGCCCAAAGAATTTATCTTCTGCTCCTTCCACATCCACCAATGAAGACAAAATGGAGTCCTTTGCAACATAGTCCTGTAAGGAAACCCAAGAGGATCTGAAAACATTCTTAAATCAAGAATAAGGTTTCCTTGTCCAAAGAATTTATGTTCTGCTCCTTCCACATCCACCAATGAAGACAAAATAGAGTCTTGCAACATAGTCCTGTAATTCTCTCTTTTTGCAGCCGTTGTCCTCTGTACAAATCATGCACTGAACTTGGCATTTCCCAGTCATCTCCTAATAAAAAAAAATAATAATAAAAAAAAAAAAAGAACCATAAATTCCTAGTGATGGAGAAGAATGTGATTTGTAGATTTTTCATCAATCTTACATTTACAACATCTGTGAAGCATCATCCACATTCCACACACTGCTGATCATGGTCTGGAGTCGTGTATTTATTCTCACTGCCATCCACACCAAAAAATGCCATTTTTAATTGCTGTAGACGAAATCTGAATATTCTTGGCAGGGAATAAATCTCCCTCTACACCAATCAGTTGAAGATAGGAACTTACAGAAAACATTTCCATTGAGCTCCTCAATTTTTGCTTGACATAGGTTCATCATTGGTGCTATATTTTAAAACTATCTACAATGTTATTTACAACCAAGAGTGTTAAGTCAGTTGGACTTAGGTTGTCATTTTTTGTGGATCAAAACTTGGGTTTGTATTTTTGTTTTATTTTTATTTTAGCTAGAATTTTCATAAGTTATATATGGTAGTTATCTCCTGGTCATGGTTGAAGATGGAATTCAAGTTTAGTATAGAACTGCAGAGGACTTTGACTGATCAAGATATCAATGATCGAGCTGTTTGAGAAAGCATTTCCCTTTTTTTTACTTTAGACATTGAAAAACTTTTTTCTTTCTACAACACCTTTTTGTCTGTAAACATTATCACAAGGCAAATTCTATACACAGCACATACATAAATAGAGAGATTTTTTCGAGTGCGAGAAAAATTGATGTTTTGTGTGGACTAGGTCCTGTGGCTTTTCAGCTAGGAAGCACGGACACTCCAAAATGGGCGAAGAATCCGTGTCCGACATGCGTCGGTCACGGACACGCATCGGGTACGCCCTGACACGTGTCGGACACGCCAAAAAACGTGTCTGGAATTTTTTATTTTTTTTTAATTTTCGGACATGGCACGGACAAGGCTCGGACACGGCACAGACACTCCGCGGACACAGCACGGACACGGACACGGACACTGCACGGACACTTCTGGAAATTTTTTTTGTTTGAATGCTGATATGTTCTTTTTTTTTTGTTTTGTACTACCCTTTTGGTATCGTAAATGGTAAAAGTCCTAGGTCAAATGATGTATAGGAATAGATGATAGTACATTGACTTGTTTTTGTATCTTTTTTGGGGACTAGCCTTTAGGTTTTTGTGAATGTTAAGTGCTAACAATAAAGTCCTGAATGTTAAACAGTCATGAATGTTAATAGTCCTTTCTGTCAATGCTTTTGTATTTGGAGTAAAGTTGCAATGATGATTAAATGATACTAGTTATTATTCTAATGTCTTGTTTTTTATTTGGTTTTAAAACTCTGCAACATTGTTCTTTTATAGTTTATTAGTTATGAGTTATGATCTGTGTTTTTTTTTCATTGTGAGGTTGATGAAAAATAGCAACACTCGGTAATTTTTAAAGTACTACATCATATATATATAAATAAATATACTATTCGCCGTGTCTGTGTCCTAATTTTTTTGGATTTGCCGTGTCGGTGTCGTGTCGTATCCGTGTCCCGTATCCGTGTCCGTGCTTCTTAGCTTTTCAGTTTAAAATTTTCACATAAAAAACTTGGTGTCCTTTTTATTGAATGGTATGATTGTTTAGTATGATGGACTAATTGAATTTCATTACTTAGTTTTAATTTTAATGTGAAATTCTGGTAATTTAGTTAAGATCTTTAAAAGTGGCTAAAATTTGGTAAAGCTACAAGATATACTTACCATCCTGTAGGTCTAGTTTACCGACCTTGCACAACTCTCTACCAGAGCCTAAGGTTCCGTCCTTACCCCATCAAAGAGAAAAAAGATTAGTTCTGAGTTGCAATGTGGAAGAGCATCACTAATCTGAATACAGATATTATATCGATGACTTCTGTTGGGATCTTTTGCCATTAGAATTTGGAGCTTTATTTTTCTTTCTACATATATGGTTCAGGTTGTTTCGGTGCTGCGATATCTTACTGCCTTGCATTTAGATTATGCTTGATGTGCTAATTTTTACCTTTCTATCTCATGTTACTGCTAGTCTTTGTATCAATTAGTTCAATTGGATGGTTTTGTGTGTTGTGCTTTTTCTGATGATGACAATCGCAGGTGGATGGTTCTTTTCATTCACCAGAGTGGCATGCTGCCCGTTTGGCTAGCCTCAAAACTTCTCACACAGTTACTTGGGAAGAGTACAAAAAGAAGCAAAAGGTAAACCTGTTGGACACAGCTATTGTGCTGATAGTTTCAGATATGCACCTGTGCCTTCCTCTTTTTGTTCGTGGAAAAAATACACTATATATGATTGTCATTTTTGAGATTTTTAATTCTTCCTTTTCTGCAAAAGTATTTTATGCTATGTAGAAATTTCATTTTTCCTTGTCGATTCTGTTAAGGTCTTGGATTCTTAAAAACCTGAGTTAACTTTTTTTTTTTTTTTTTTGTTGATAGATAAAAAACTTAAAAGAGTTATTAAATTTATCCACCGTGAAAAATAACATAATTGGTTAGAACATGATGAAATCTCAAAAATCTATTTAGCATAATTGCACGATACCTCTGGGGATAGGATAATTCCACTTGCCGTGTTATCAGAAAAAGAGATAGAAGATATACGTAAGTTTGGAACAGAGGTTGTAGATGCAGATATAGCTTATGTGCTTCAAGCAAATGAGTTAGCCACTTGTTAAACTGATAGTTAATATAGTAGAACCTGCATGATATCTCCTGGACTCCACCCATAACTCCTATTTATATAATCCTATATAGCAATGGCTGCCACACAGACTGACACAGATCTTCAAAAGCCTAAATGATACGTAAATATTTCCCGCCTGTATGTGCTATATCGCAAAGGGGATAAAAGAAACTTGTCAGATCTGGGTATGTACAACATGGCCATTCCAAACTTTTATGGATTGATAAATACTGTACAAGAGATTGGGTAATTAAAAAGTCAAAGGGTTACTTGTTAAAAAAAATAAAAAATTTAAAAGTCTAAGCGATATTCTCTTCGTGGTTCTAGATTTTGTATGTTAATAGTTTTGGTTTGTCAAACGAAGAATGCCTTTCATTTCTAAGAATGGTTTTTGTTAATTGTTGTGCTGGGAGGGATGGTCTGGGTAAAGACTAAACCTTTGGCGTTATCTGCACAAAAAGATTTGTCTTAAGACTTAAACTCACATTCTCAATGCATGGAAGCTTGAGTTTTTCAACTACGCCAAGCAATGGGCCCTGATATTGGTTTGTGAAATAATACATTTATTTATGAAGGGGAATAAACTTCCATCTGAACTTGAAAAATTCACAGATTTGCATGGATATAAATAAAACTGGTACTTGTAGAGTGTGTTACAGCTGCACATTTCAAGGTTCTGGCAATTAATAACCTTAGAAAGAGAAAAGAAATCATTCCTGATTGGCACTATATGTGCAATGGGAGAGCTGTTGCTCACTTGCGTCTTTATTTTCAAATAGCTTGGGAGCTTTGGTCCTTCAGTCATTGTTGGATTTATTGAAGGTATCTTGGGCTTTTATGTCGCACTCAGTCACACAATCCTTCTCAACAGGTGTCACTCTCACGGTCCTAGCGTGCTCTCGCTGAAATTCTCATTATTTATGACTAAATTTTACCGCTCTCGAATTCGCTCCCGCTCCCGCTCCCGCTTTATGTGACTTAGGTGTCGCATAGTGACAGATCGTCTTTGTAATTGGAGAGGGGTAGAGTAAGTAGAATAAAAGGAAGGGTTTGAACATGATTCCTTTGTGAGTAATAGTGTATACGTGGGTGAGAGGATTAGGAGGTATTAAGATTCTTTAACTTTATAGAAGAATACATCGACCTTTTCGCATGATATATGACACGTGTTTCAGCTCCTTTGCTGCCATTTAATGAAAGCTATCTTGTCAATATATAACTGGTACATTAATAACTATAGTTTGCCATGTCGTTATCAAAACCTCCAGTTATAATAGCTGGAAGGAGATTAAACAGTCATTATGGTTTTATGACCAATTAATATGATGTTATCAATATTCAGGAAAAAAAATGATGTTATCAATAGTATTTGATGCATATAATTGGCGATAGTCATTAATTTGACTGTTGATACTATTATCCTAGAAATGCACACAAATTGTCAGTATCAAAGAGGGGTGATCCGTACTTCAAAAAAAAGAAAAAGAAAAAAAGAGTGCGATCCATATGCAGGATTATTTAGTATAATTTTCAAGTGGAGAAATCTTATCTAATTCTCTTAATAAATGACACATCAACACCCATTGAACCTAGCATCTTGTATGTACTAGAGATTGATCTCTAAACAATCTATTCACACTTACAAACGCATGTGTGCATTCAGATATGCAAGTGGCTGTAGGTGTGCTGTGAAGGCACATCTTAGCTTGCTCATATTTCAGCAGTTGTAACATCTTTTCAACTTTTGGTTTCATTTCCTGTCTACCCAATCATATTCCAGCAGTTCCTGAGGTAAGTTGTGACTCTATGGTTACTCCAGTGATACTCTGGCTGTAGTTAAGGTGCGTTATGCTATTTTACCATCAATATTGCAACATCCTAGTGAAGCCATTTTGAGTGACCGATCATTGATATTATAATGTTCTGTCCATGCCTTTTTATCTACAAGCTTATTAATTCTTTTGAAATTTCATAGCTGGATTTGTATTTTCTTGAATAACCTTTGTTTGTCTGATATTTAGAACCTTTCCATATTCCCATTTTGTTTCTCAGCATTTTTAACGCATTGCTCTAGAAAACACAGTAGCTTTTCTGATGTTGATTTCTTTGCTAATCTTAATGATGCTTCTATTTTATGAAATGCATATTTATTTGATTTTTATTGTACTCGATTTCTTAGGAAGATGAAATAAAAAAGGGGGAGCTAGAAGCAGATAAAGATAGAATGATGAGGGAGTATAGGGCTCAGCTAGATGCTGAAAGGGCAAGAAAGCTTGCCCAAGGAAGGAATCACTCGAGCAGTAAATCTAAACGCAAAAGAGGTACTACTAAAAAATTGGAAGGGAGACAATAAATATTTTTTTTAGTTATGCCCAATATTGTAACTAGCTTCTTTTATTGGGAAAAAATGTTATAACAGATAAGAAGGAAAAGGATCCGAAGAAACGCAGCAGCAAAAAGAGAAAGGTGCCTTCAAATCTCTGTACTATTTGAATTTATGTTTTGTCTGCTCTAGAGTAAAAAAACCACATATATAATCTGAGAAATGCTGACCAAATAATTTTTTTTGATCAGCATCTTTGTTATCAGTATGGAAATTGTTGTGCAACCTCCTGTTAGGGCCAATTAAAATTGTGATTAGTAGAATAGGGGTGACAAACAGAACTACGTTTTCCTGGTACCTGTCCTGCTCCCACTGGAACAGGTATGTACATTGTCTGGCAGGATAGGGCCATGGGCACAGGTATCCTTTTACCTAGCCTGTCCTGCATCAGGTTTTAGTTAAGGTTTGAGGCTGAGGCTGCACGATCCTGACCCACCCAGTTATCATACATATAGCTGTTGTAGGTGTCTGATAGAAATGTATATTGACATTTAGGTCATATGCTATTATGTCCATCCAATGGGCGGCCCAAAGAAATAGAGGCTGGAATTGTGCCTCTCATATGGCTACAAGAATTCCATCATATCATTGTGTTCCCATTCACAATGCTGGTAGCATCTTTAATTTACAGGCAGCAAAAGGTATGCTATCAAGGTCATTTTAATCTGTCAAAACAGTAGCAGTATGATGATTGTGTCATAAAAGTGATCTCCTACCTGTTCCACATTCATTACTTTAGAAAGATGAAGTCAAGGCGTTCATATCTGTCACGTTCCTTCGTTGTAGCTGTACATGTGTGACCTGAAAATGCAATTTTAGCCATATACGCCTGGATAGTCCAATTAGCATTTTCTCTGTATAAAAGAAAATCAATAGTGGAAAGAATTGATTTAAAATTTGGTAAATCCTGAAAGATACCTGCTTTGGGAAGCCACATGTACAGCTACAAAGAAGGAACACGACAGATATGAATGCCTTGTCAAATATGATTTTAGAATTGAACTAATATATTGAATCCAGAAACTGATCTTCCGCAGCTTCCATTTCATGCCAGAGATGGAACTAATGCTTGAAATTAAATATAACAATTTCAGTTGCCATTTCAAACAAAGTTTAATTATTTAATCTTTGTTTGGAATCTAGATGCCCTTGATGTCGATCTTTTTTTTTTTTCCTAGTTGGTACTCACACACACTTGTCTCTTTTGAAACTTGAATCCCTGACCTCCCTTTGGGAAGTAAGAGGCTGATACCGCTAGGCCACTGGCCCGTTAATCTTTTGATTATGTGGGAAAATGTTGGTCTTATAAAAAATAAAGGAAAAAATGATTATATGGCATAAAGTTATTATATATTTCTCATTTGAAAAAAGTTATCAATAAAATGATTGGCTTAATCCTACATTCCTACTACAGTTTGTGCATTTGGACTATTGTGCTTGTGTATGTACACATATTGGCTTTATGTCATATGTAATAAATTGTTTAATTTTTTATACCCTTATAATTTGTAAGTGACTAATTCCCTCCATCTATGTAAACAATAGTTAATTTGTCTTCTATTACTTCCACTTTTAATTGTTATTTAATGTTCTTCTCTCTCACTAAAAAAATACTACGTAATAAACAACAGTGCTTGCTACAGCAAAATTATATTTCAAATTCTAAAAGTGTTTCCTCCATCTCATTTTGCTCTCCAAAACTATGTCTTACATCCCGTGTATATCCTATTCAGTCAATGCCTACAGGCCTATTAAAATCACCTATGGATTGCACTATTTCATCCCCAAACCTCGTATTAGCACCAATATCCTCATCCCTCATATTTCATAAATACAGTTATAAGTTGGCATTGCATGTTGTTATCACATCAGTAACCCAAATTTAAGAATCTGAAAGTATCACACACCTGACGGGTAGACTTAATTATATTGTTCCTGACAAAATTTCAAGCAAACATTTAACCACATGAGTATCCTCATGGGCTTCATTGTATTTTTTGGGTGAGTCCATTCTTGAAAATTCTTTATTATATCCGTATGAATGTCTGGGATTGTTTTTGGATAGACTATTTTGTATTGTTTCTTGAAAATTTGACTTATAAAGTGAGGTAGCTTGTCCAAAAATATTTTTGCTTATCAAAAAAAAAAAAAAAAGTGAGGTAGCTTGTCCAAAATTAAATGCCATTATTGGCACAATAGTTACCCAGAATTAGGGATCTAGCAGCATCCCATAGTTATTGGTAGTCTTTATTTTATTTTAGTACAATTATTTTTATAACACCGGGTGTACCACCCATTTTGGGATCAGGACTTATCCTTTTGGATACTTGCAATCACCTTAAACCACAGTATTGGTTCCAAGAAGGAACAGGAGTTGAACACAAGACACTGGTTTATTCTTGTAGTAGACCAACAATGTATCAAAAAATTGTAGTAATTTGATGATCATCTAAATGAAAAATGAAAATGTAATATCTAAAAAATATATATTCAAGATAAATGTAATAATTATGATATATCTATATATGTATTATTTGACTTATCAAAAAAAAAAAAATCTATATATGTATTATTTGTATATGCAAACACAGTTATTATTAATTTTTTTGATAAGTAAGATTGTATTAAGAAGTGTTCAAAAGGGGAACACATCCCTCAAAAGCTACACAAGGCCAAATAGGGCCTCTAAACTCTCAAAGAGTCCAAAAAATGAACTACCTCTTCCAAGGATTTACAATTTCTCCCTAGAACCCAACAAAAAAAGTGTTAATAAAGAGATCAAAATAGGATAAAACATTCAATATTTGATCATGCTTAAAATGATAGGATAAGCTTCAAAATCTTAAAGAACAAAAATGATTTGGATTCATTGGATAAGCTTTGCTTGCACTTAGGAATTATGAGGAACAGGGGCGGAGGCGGAACAACACCCCCCCCCCCCCCCCCCCCCCCCCCCCCCCCCCCCAAATTTTTTTGAAAATGCCTATTACTATATGGGCCAATTATACCAAATACAGATAAGCTCATACTTTGCACCCCCAAATAAAATTTTTTGTTGGGCCTTTAGCAACTTTAAATCCAGTAGTAATATATAAAATGTTTTAAAGCCCAAATCTAATAGCAAATTAATAATATAATATGTCATACATAATAATAATATAATTAATATATCATACATATATATATATATATTTACACATCCTTAAACTCTACTTTTATCTTACCCAAAAGTGAAACAGTAGCAAATGTTATAAACCTTCAAAATCTCTCATCATCTTTATTGATTCTTGTTCATGGTGGTCCTGGTAGGAAGATAAAAGAGATTAAATACTATGCAAGTTTCACTCTCTCCCCTATTCTCCTCTATTTTTCTTAATTAAAAAAATACCAAAGACATAAATGTTAACATAAGAGTTATATATAAACCGTATATTGTATTTATTTGTCATTATGTATATGTGTATTTAATATAAATAGTGTACGTATATCAATATATAGGAGTATTGAAAAATATAAAATAAAAAAATTAGGATTTTGATTTTAAGTATGTTGATTGGTTTGCAATCAATAACATCTCTACTGAATGGGTTTATCCTAATTATGTAGCTTGAATCAGTTTAGATTCGATTGGTATATAATATATTTGATTAATGGGTTTGTTGTGATTCAAAGCCTTAACTATTTTATTTAATTAATGGATTCATTTTAATTGATGAAATCATAATTTTTGAGTTTATTTAATTTATGGTTTGCAATATTTCAAGCTATTTAGATTCGCATGGTTCTCTAATTTATTTTTTCGTTGTGTTTTCTGAAAAAAAAAAAAAAAAAATGTCTTTTTTGAATTATTTTTGTACATATCTATGTCATATTTGACTAGATATAGGCAAATTTTTTTTTTGGTAATATATATTTTCATTGTGTTTTCTAAATAAAAAAATTGGTCTTTTTTGAATTATTTTTGTACATATCTATGTCATATTTGACTAGATAGAGGCAAATAATTTTTTTTGGTAAACAAATAGATTTTTGCATGTATCTAATCAACAGTGCAATATTTTTGGCCCAAAGTTTGGCCTGGCCTCCCCAACCATGGGATCCTGGCTCCACCCTTGCTGAGGAATATTTGGAAAAAGAATGAGAAAAAATAAAAAGAAGCCGCCATTAAATTGCAGCTCCTCAATTAAATGTTCTTTTTATTTTTTTATTCTTTATTCTTTTTTTGAAATTAGGTTTTTGTGATCAAATGCTTAGGGAGATTGGTAATGAAAAATTAAGAAAAAATTACAAACTTGTAGAGAAATTTACCATGGCTTCCAAGGTCAAACTCACATATATACTTCACCTTGTTGCTAGAAAAATAAACAAATAACGTAAAGAAAATTGAAGCCTGGGAGAGATTACGAAAGTAGTCTACTGAAGAAAAAAAAAGAAGAGAGAAGTAATTTACCGAAGAGAAAAAAGAGAGAGAAAAGTCAATTGATGCATGCCAAAGCTAAAAAGGTAAAATGCAGAAAGAATTGAAGTTACTGATGGTGTGAGAATTCTCATCGAGATGAGGTTGCACCCACATAAATTGATACGTTACATAGAAAACTAATTCCAAAAAAGCAAGTAAAATAAATTTAAATGAAGTAAAACATTAATCTATGTAAAAATACATATCTTAGATCTCTCTCTCTCTCTATATATATATGTAAATATATATATATATATGTAAATATATATATACGTAAATACATATCTTTACATGTGTGTTTGATATACGTATACATTGAGTTGTTAGAAAAGACTCCTAAATCATTTTGGCTTATATTTTGAAGTCATATATGAAAGAATTTTTAAACTTTGTGATGTATTATATATCGAATTCAACACTGAGTTGAAAACTATTTGCTTACCAGTAGACTCAACAAAAAAAGAGGAAGACTAGTTGTAATAGACGGCACGATACGGAGAGGGGACCAAAAATAACATGGGGTGAGGTTATTAAAAATCACTTTAAAAGTTAAATATAGTAGGTGAAACAACATGTAGTAGAAAATTTTGGAGAGAGAGAATTCATGTGACCGACCCCATTCATATGGAATTAAGGTAAGGATGATGATGATGATGAGACTCGGTGAAAAAAAAAGGTGTTTTTTAATGAAAACTTTTTGCTTATTAGATGTTAAAAATAAAAAAGAAGAGTTTGTGTTGAAGATGTCTTTGTTTTTTTAATACTTCTTTGGATCAAATAATATATAAATTTTAAAAAATATAAAAATTCTTTGTACATTTATATAGGTATATAGATGAGCTACATCAAACTGGCATATGCCCAGTAACCCATGTGTGGTATATGAAATGTCTTCCCTTGGGTCCCTTTGTGTCAATCAGCTGTCCCCCTAGGGGTTATGGTAGTCATATTCGAGTATTGTTACCGAAAACATTTCGAACAAATATTTAACCACTGGAATATCCTGGTGGTCTCTATGTTACCCGGACTCGTATGAGTGTTTTGGATGCGTGTTTGAATGCAAGTGTCGGACCTCCTTGAATTCCTAATCTTAAGACATGAGATATGTGTCCAAAAGTATACAGGTATGTTGATACGTACTACGCATGTAAATACATTATATGTTTTAATTTATTGTAATTTTTAATGATGTTCTTAGCACATTATATATATTTTTAGCCCCTCTTATTACTATAATTAAATGAGCTGTGGTAAAAGAAAATGTTTTCATCCATCTTATAGAAAAGAAACTCATTCTGCTATTGAGTTTGAGTTCTTCTCCTGTCATGCCATGTGAAGGATTGGGGTATCCAATGTTTGTGTGTCAGTCACATAGCTTATACACATACCCATGTAGTGTCTTGTAGAAACAGGTATGCGAAGAGAAATAGGTGGCCTTCCATCGTTTGGGTAATATCATTTTTGGTCATTTTGGCATTTGTAGGCTTGCAAGTTGAATATCTAGAACTGTTCTTGGACCTATAGTTTATTTTACTTTTTAAGAAAATCTGACTCGTAAAACTTATCGAAAAATAAGCAAACATCGGATTTTTCATGGACTACTTAAAAAATGAAAAAGAATCTTACTTCTTTTATATAAAGTTCTTGTTGTGTTTGAGGCGAGCATATAACATGCGTCAAAATTTCTTGTAATTTGATCGAAGAAACATTGCAACACTTTTCTGATCAATGTAAAGTTGCATTTTCCTTTCTGGTTAATCTTCTGATTGAGCATAACATAAAGCTACTCATCTCGCTTACATGAACAGTCCAATGTCATGTTTAGGGCACCACACCTGCATGTTTCAGAGAATTATTCATATTTTTAAATATGCCAATAGGCATTACTAGAACCTGTAGATTTGTGCATCAGTGCATGCTGTTACCTTTCTGTTTTTTAAATATTTCCTTTGTTGGGTTTAGGACGTTAAGGAATCCTCTTTGCTTACGGGTATATGCATCTCCTTGGGGTTACATTTTATGTATCAGTTCTCATTCTTTTAATGAAGCATTGCTAGGGGGACTTTTCCTCTTGGCTAACTTTGTTCCTTCCACCTTTGGGATGAGAGGAATTTTCCTCTTTTTTGACATTTTGCACCTTAACAAAAAAGCCCCTAATATGTAAGGTATGATAAAAAAATCAGGGAATACTCCTCTTTCTTATTTTCTCCTTGCTCAGCCAAAGAGAGAAATCTCCCTTCCTTTTCCTAGGAATACATGTTCCATGCATCCCCTCTTATTTTTTCCATACCTTGTGTCGAATTAAAGCAGTTAAAAGGACATTTGAAACTTTATTGTATTCGTTGGCCTCTTTGAATTTTCATTTGAATTATAATCTGAAATTCAAAGTTCTATACTCTTGCCTTACCTTGGGTTTTAGAAATGAACTATGAAGTTTAAGATATGTGGCTATTGAATTGTGGTGCAGTCCTATGTGTATTCTGGGCCATCCTCGTTTTAACTTTATCTTGACAGCATTACAGGAGATCTTCTGATTCAAGTTCATCAAGTTCGTCGTCCGAATCTTCTAGTAGTGATGATGAGGAGAGAGAATCAAAAAGATCGAAATCGAGGTCTAAGAAAAAGAAGAAGGAGAAGAAGCACAGGTCAAGATCCAAGCACTCCAGCAGTGATGGCGAAAAGAATGATGGGCCGTTGCCGCTTTCTAGATTCTTCGGGAATGTAAAGACCTGATCTTTTTGTGTTGAGAAGTCTGTACTTTTCAAGCCCTCTTTCTGAAATAGTAGATGAGGAGCTAATCTCTCAATTCACTATGACTGGCTTTCATGGTTACATTGCTAGATTCAAAGCTTTGTGATACTCGAAACATTTGTGTATTTTTTATTTTCCACATTAGAAAAGAATCCGGTTCTGCATCTTTTCAAATGTCAGAATAGCATTGTCTAATTTGTCTCATTTAGTGTCTTGAAACACTGATATCCTGCAGATTGTAGAGACAACAGATTGATAGAATTGTTTTGAGATATACTTGAAGCCTCTCTCTCTGTGTGCGCGCGTGGGGAAATGATGATGTTGATAACAGCTTTTGTCTCAAGGAAAATGCTTCCAAACCCTAAAAAAATGAACCGACCATTCAGAGAAATGATCAATAGATATTTATGTGTAACAGCACAGTGCTGTTTCTCAACATTCTGCACGGACGGTATTATTCTTGTTTTAATTTGTAGGGGTGGCTGTCGCACCTCTTCTGCCTTCCCCCGGTAGGGGTAGGGATATAATATGTAATTTTACCTTCAATAAAGCTCTCTATTGAACCGAGAGCTCTCTTAATACCATTTTACTACCAAACATGCCCTAGAACAGTCGAACTAGAGCGCAAAAACCTAACAATGAACATTGTAGGATTAAAAATTATTCTAGCACCCAAAAAATAAATTATGGTTTGATTAATTTCTTGTGTTTTGAATAATTGAAGGCTTCGGAAGAACCTAGAATTAAAAACACAAAAAAGAAAAAAACCTAAAGACCAGAATTCCAGCGTCAGTCTGTTTTTTTTTTTTTTTGACCTGACGTTAGGCTACAATAAATTAAAAGTACAAAAGGAAAGCACCCATACAAATCCCCTTTTAGTTCTCAGTACTCAGAAGTCAGAACTCTGCCCATAATAAAATGTATCATTTTCAAAGCCATCCAGGTTTCGGATGGAACATATATACATGAAGAAATAGATCATTAATCATACAAATCTTGAACACCACACTGATTAAAGCCACAATATTCAAATCACATGCGATGATACTCGGGATTAAATGCGAGAGCCTCTCTGTAAATCAGCTCCTTCATCTGTTCCTCACTCAGAGCATGCTGCTCAAAGTCGAAGTTGAATGGAGTCATGCAGGTTGGTTCATCGCTAATATCGTGGAGTGACGTTAGGTAGGGATGTGCTAGTGCATCTTCCACTGAAACCAATAAATTTTGAAGAAAGGAATTAAATCTTTGTATCAATGACCAGAGATAATTATTCAAAAAATAAATGCCTCTAAACAATGCAAACATATGTTGACAGTGGCTAAAAATCAACTGGCACATGACAGTTCAGGTCAGACTTTCTTAATGCAAATTAATAAATTATGGTCACCCAACCAAGCAAGGGAATAGATTGCACTATTTCTTTGTTTCTGCAATCAGAAAAAGCTAAAATGTGAGCAACCATTGGAGCCTCTCAGATATGAACTTTCAGTTCCCACTTGCGATAAATTACAGTTCCTTTTAAAGAAAGACACCAACTACTAGTATAGGAGCTCCCAAAAACCGAAATGCACACCAAAGATTTATTCAGCACGAAACAGAGAATCTACTTTCACTTATAATTTGGACCAAAAAATTCAATAACTTTGGAAAAGGCATCAACAATATATTCAAATTCTCTCTCTGCTTCTTTTATTAAGTTAAATTATTTACCACAACTTTAACGAATTATAGAATGTACAATTATGCAATTGGTTTAAAACCAAATATCTAACAGAACTACTTAAAGAATACTACAAAACCAAAAATGACCCCATAAATGGTATCAGAGCCGATCCCGGGCAGGGGTGATTGTTACGTCCCGCATCGCTTAGTGGGGAGAAGTTCTTGACATTTATATGTGTTGACACCCCTTAGCCATGTACATACATTTTAAGGAAAATCATGAGCACTGAAAGGAGTTTGTGTAAAGGGGACAATATCTACATGGTGCAAGGTGGGTCGTGACAAATGGTATCAGAAGCGATCACGTTTGCTTGGTTAGATGATATCTTACCATTGACTTTGTGTGCTGAACATCTTTTTCGTTGGCTTTCCCCTTTACTTTAGTTGTTATGTTCCCCCAAAAGGAATGATTTCCCCTATTTGTAAGCTCTAGCCTTCCTCTCGATCCGAAAATGTGGGGACGTGCACAAGCCATGTGGGTTAGGCTAGCGAGAATGCTGGGTCCCAATAGGGGGGAAATTGTTATGTCCCATACTGCCGTGGGGGGAGAAGTTCCCGACATTTATATGTGTGGACACCCTTTAACCATGTAGACACATTTTGAGGAAAACCATGAGCACCCGAGAGGGGAGTGTGCAAAGCGGATAATATCTACATGGTGCGGGGCGGGGCGGGTCGTGACACTTGGAACCTTCCAGGATTAGTTCACAACTTGGGATAGAAAATAGAATTATTGGGTGAGAATTAAGGAATGGCAAATAATAAATAAATGGTAAGAAACCAAGAGAAGATTTCTAAAAGGGAGGGGGAGAGAGAGAGAGAGAGACATGAAAAATAGACGAAAGGTGCAACATGGATAACCAACCCAACTCCAATAACAAGACAAATGCAGAGATGAAAGAAACAAAAGTTTATTAAGATGCAAAAACTTGTACAAATAATTATGACATATCATATCCACAATGAAACCACAGGTTTATTTGATACACGTCAAATACAGATATCATATACACCTACTTGCATAAATGTGTACATACAAAAAAGTGGCAACATACATGCACTAAATTAACATATAGCTAGTGTCAATATGCACTCCAATTTAAGCCAATGAATGTTGCAACAAAAATTATGACATTTTTTGGGGGCTTGGAAAAAACATTACCTGTAATCCTCTGTCTAGGATCAAATGTTAGCATTTTCTCAACAAGATCAATAGCTGCAGGGTGGACACGTGGAAATTTCTCAGTAAGTGACTGGCGACGATAAGGAGGAAGTTGACGAATGTATCTCTTTGCATTTTCATTCAAAAACCCCAATTCAGCCTCTGATGGTGTGCCAATCAGCTGCAATGGGATTTTTGTTAATCATACTGGAATATGGATGATAGTGTATGAACATTACTCAAGTATGCTGGTAATACTGCGAAGATGGTTTTTAAGGATGTTAATCAACAGCAAGTCTGCCACTTGTATTATTACTGAAATATGGTTTCATGGGGGTGGAATTTATGGAAGCACTTTTATATGCAAAAACATTAATCATGTTATGCTATGTTTGCCCTAAACCTGGCTTTTCATTAGTAAATGTGTTGTCCTAAGCCCATGTAATTGGACTTATCAACTCCAACTGAAATGCAAAATTCAATTACAGGCTGTAAAAAGCCGGGTTATCTTTTAGTGCAAATAATGATGCAGACAAAGCAAGATTTGCAAATTTCACTTCAAAAGATACAAATATTACCACTTTGATTAACATAAAGAAATAATGTAATGGAAATTTTATTTATAAAGAGTAATGATATATCCTCCGACTAAAACGTCCGACTTTTCATCCGACTCCTACGTGGCTATGCCACGTCCGACCATCAATCTCAAATTTTTTTTTCCTTTTTAGCGCGTGATAGAGAAACAGAGCTTGGGAAGCAAAAGTTACGATCTCTCTCTTCGATTTCTATCCCCGATTTCCCCTCCCTCTCACTCTCTCCTCCTTTCTCTTCTTCTTCTTCCTCCTTTATTGCTATATCGCCACTATCTCCTCTCCTTCCTCTCTTTGATTCTGGGTTGCTCTTCGATTTCACAAAATCAAAGAGAGAAAACAAAGCATTTGTCTTATGCTGGTTCCTAAAATCAAAGGGTGTGGTTCGTAAAATCAAAGGGTAAAAGAACATATAAACAGAGCTCTCGCTCTTTGATTGAAGGTACAAATTCAATTTTTCTGAGAGGTGTCATTTCAAGTTCTAAACTGAAAAAAAAAAAAAAAAAAAAAAACCTAGTTCTGCTTCTCTTCGAGGAAAAGAATTGTTGTCTTCAATCCTTTCCCAATATGAACCAGACCCCATCTTCGCTCCTTTCTCCTGTGTTTTCTCCATCTTCACCAGCTACATACAAGTTTGAAAATTTCTCCATCTACTGATTCAAACACACAATATAAGTGCATCATCTTTGTTCTGATCTGATGTGCAAATCAATATTATGGTATGTTTTCATTTTTAATTTTGTGTAAAATTTAGAAGGCTTGATAAATGATTACTTGGGATTAGTCTGTTCAAATGGTTGAGATTGAAGGAAATTGATTTAGAAGTAATTAAAAGTTGGACATAGGCTAAATAGGAAATTAGAGTTTGTGATTAAGTAAAATGTACATAATTGAAGATCCAAAACTAAAATTGTTGCTAAGACAATTGTTATTCAATATTGTTGTTGCCCATCATAGGCATTCTCAGAATAGTTATGTAGGTGCTCTTCACAAATTCTAATCTCTGAACATATTTTTCTGCAGGGTAATCAACTTACTGAAAAACATGGCAAAAGAAGAACAAGATCAAAGTTAAATGTGGCAGAAATTGAAGCAAAGAGAGAATGGATAAGCTGTCCTTGAAGACTACACTGCAAGAGGCTAATGATATGGGCATACTTTGCTTAAAATCTCCTGCCTTTTGCCTACTTATGGTTGTTTGGATGTAGTGACAACTTTTTGCATGTGTTTGTGGGTTGGTTTTTTGGTTGCCATCATATGAACTCATGTTGGAATATATTTTCATACAATGCAACCTTGTAATCCTGCTATTGTCAATTCAATTGTTAAAGTCAAGTTCAATAAATTGAATTTTGATCAGTAAACTGACTTCTGAATTCAATTCAATGTTATATTGGAATAATTGGTTCAAAGAGTTGCTGCTTTTATGGGATAAGACGTAAGAGGAGGCAGATAGGGTTGTTGAGCCTTGTTGCTTACCTATCAGTTGGGATTTATGGAGAAGTTGTAACAATTTTATTTTTCACAATAGAAATGTGGATGAGAAGGAATTTTTTTCTACTTCTATCAAGTAGTGGGATGAGCACAGGGAGCAACCCTTCATCATAATAGTGCATCTGGACCCTTGCAGGGATTCCAGTGCTTCTCCTGAAAAACTGAAAAATGGCAGCCTTCAGTTGTTGGGTATTTTAAGTTAAGACTTTGATGTTGCTTTTATGTCGTCTAGAGGGATACACAACAGCATATTATTGAAGTTGCTGTAATTAAATCATCTACACCTTTTGGATGGGAAAAATAAAGAAAGAAAAAAACCCTCTAGATCTCACTCTTCTTTTGCAGCAATCTGCGAGGTGTGGCTCATCTGTTAGCCCAAATTTTTAACAATGTTTTAAGCCCCTTTAGTGGCTGCATTAGCTACCCAATTTGCTTCCAGAACCATGTAAGAAACATCATAATACTCCATGAATTAATTTTCAGCTAAGAAATCCAAAACAAAATATCATTTATATTATGTGTGTCAAATATTTGAACAACTTATCATTAAGAAAGCACATTCCACCACAACTCGGTATAAAAGGAAAAATAATGGAAAAAAAAAAAAAAGAAAGAAAAAAAAAAAAAAAAAGAGAAGAAGAAGAAGAAGAAGAAGAAGAAAGAAGTAGTTGATACACAACTTGCAACAAGCTTGTATTTAGCTGGTGACGATGGAGAAAACACAAAAAAGGAGCGAATATGGGGTCTGATTCATATTGGGAAAGGATTGAAGACAACAAATTCATGGTCAAAGAGATGCAGAACTAGGATTTTTTTCCTTTTCGATTTAGGTTCGTAAAATGTTTTCCTTGTAAAACATTTTCTAAAAAAACATTTTCATGTAAAATGTTCTTTTTATTTTCCAGTGTTTGGCAATGGTCCATAAAATATTTTCTAGATCAACTTTTGTTCACAATTAACTCTTTCTTTCTTCAGTGTTCCTCACCAACAAGGAATAGTACCCCCTAAACCATCCCCCCCTCTCCCCTTGTTACTCTCTCTCTCCCTACGCTAAACCATTCCTCCCTCTCCTTCTCGTGACATTCTCTCTCCACTCTCCTGTTATTTTCTCTCTCTCTACATTAAACCATGCCTCCCTATCCTTCTCGTTACTTTCTCTCTCCACTCTCTCTCTATACCTGGAACATGCTCTCGACCCAAATATGTTCCTCAACCAACCCAAATTTGTATCCCTCTTTCTTGCTCCTCTCTCTATGTATACATATAGAGAGAGAAAACTGAAGATTAGATTTTTAGATTGGGAGGACTGAAAAAGATTAGTTGTTAAGAGGGGCATAAGGGTTCAATAAGAATACGGATGGTTAGATGACCAAGGTAGCATGTGGAAAATGACTTACGGAAACTTTTTTGGTAAATCATTTTCAGTAATTTGGGGGTAAAATGATTTACATGGAAAATAATTTCCTAACTTTGGAATCTCCCAACCACCAGAAAATGAGGAAAATGATTTCCAAAAAATATTTTACAGGGAAACAAACGGAGCCTTAGAACGTGAAACAATCTCTTGCAAAAATTGAATTCATAACTTGAATCTTTTTTTACCCTTTGATTTTACGAACCAGCAGAAGACATAATGCTCTGTTTTCTCTCTTTGATTTTGCGAAATTGAAGAGAGCCAGAATCAGAGTGATAAAGGTGGAAGAAAAGAAGAGAGGAGGTAGGGGGAAATCGGGGATAGAAATCGAAGAGAGAGATTGTAACTTTTGCTTCCCAAGCTTTGTTTCTCTCTCCCGCGCAGGAAAAAAAAGTTGAGAATGCTATTCTGACATGGCGATGCCACGTCGGAGTCGAATGAAAAGTGGGACGTTTTAGTCAGATGATGTATCATTACTCTTTTATAAATTCACATGATTAGAAAGTCAATTCTTTAAGAAAGCACACAGAAAATTAGAAAGAGAAGGGAAGCTGATGGTATTATTTAGCTCTCTTGTTTGCAAATAGTCAGTTACACAACAAACTTCAGCGTGAATCACGAGATAAACTATACTTCTCTTTTGCTTGAACATTTACCTCAAAAAAGAAGATAAAAAGTTGCAACACATGCAAAATCTTTTGGAAATCAGCAAAGTACTTTACAATTGCGAAGGTTCACTTGAATGTATACTACATTAAAAACAAGGACTCCACAAAAGTACATGAAAAATATTAAAATGGATACAGAAAAAGAAAATGAAGCCTATTATTTTGAAAAAACCATATGCATATTTTATGTTCATGTAGTTAAGGACTTTTTTTTTTTTGGGGGGGGGGGGGGGGGGGGGGTGTGGTTCTTTCAACATCAAAGAATTAAGAACATAATAGAGGTATTCAGAAACCAAAACTGGCCAATGATAAAAAGCTAATGAAAATGGTAAAACTGTCGGATGATCCTAACAACTAAGAAATTAACAATACGTATGCTGCTGAAACTCACCTCCATAAGCAGGCGTAGCTGGTGCACATGATCTCTTCCAGGAAAAAGAGGCTTCCTATCCATTAGTTCCATGAAAATGCAACCAACTGACCACACATCAATGGCGGCAGTATAATCTGAAGAATTTAACAACAGCTCTGGTGCCCGATACCATCTTGTAACAACATATTCTGTCATAAAATCAGTTTCTGAAGTGACACGGGCTAGTCCAAAATCACATATTTTTAGATCACAATTGGCATTCAAGAGGAGATTGCTAGGCTTTAAGTCTCTATGCAGCACATTCGCGGAATGTATGTATTTTAACCCACGGAGTATCTGATACAAGAAATACTGCACAAAGCATTAAAGTGGTTATTTAGGTCCTCAGGCTGATTAATATGGTAAATTTAGAAACTATGAAAAAAAAAAATGGAAAATTTAGAAGTATGATTCTGAAACATTATAATACATGCAAAAGTAAATAATAATGCCAAATCGGTAAGACAAAAAGAATTTTCAATTGAAAGGCCAAACCAGGGATAAAATAAGCCAAAAAATCCTCTAAATGTTTTTTACTCTATCGTCATGCTTTCACTTCAGATTAAGAAATAAGTACCAAGTCAATTACAAGTTCATGGAACTACTTGGATTAATTATGTATCTCTATACTGTTACAATGTTACCATATTCCAACCACTCACAATATCGACATTACTGAAAGATGACGTAAATAATAGCTTAGCCATACATTTTGTTCCAGTCGATTTAACTACAAATGTATATAACACTGGTCATACAATTATCTTAACCCTGCACAGGAGATCTAGGAAGAAACTAGGAATAGAAAACTGAACCTGTTTTGTGACTCCTGTCAAACAGTCTAATTGAAATTACAAGAAAACACAAACCCGTAACACTCATGTATGGCTATAAATGAACCGAGTTGTTCGTGAATAGCTCATGAAATATATGGTATCAATACCTTATATAAACAGGCTAAACAGCTTACAATTCCCATAAAAAAGGCCCAACCTTTTAATGATTTTGTAATCACATGTGAATCCCACCCAACCCAACCCAAATACCTTGGTATCTCTTCAAAAACAAAACCAAATTAGCTGAAGTCCATTATCACTCCAATGCCCATCTTTTATATATATGTATCTAACCCTAGTGAGCGGCGATGGACTTTCAGACCACCAATCAGTGATGGATGCAATTTCCATAGATGACCGGCGATCATTTTCAACGTTCACTCTCTTTCTCTCTCAAACTCTTTCATGTAATTTGAGGTCTTAATCTGTTTCCAAAGTTTTCTACTGAGTGCTTATTGTGGGCTTACTTCCAAAGCGCTTCTTTTAAAATTTGGCATCTGCATCTTACCCTGATAAGTGACAAAAACCATCTTTAAAATATAAGTTGGTTTTCATCATATACACTGTTTCCTCTCTGGTTACAGTTTCTTTCAAATTATAAGTTATTTATCCTTTCTTGGTCTCTATCTATCTATTTCGCTCTCAAAATGTTATGTGTTCCTTACCACTCGTAAGGCGTTGACGAGTTCTATACGAGTTTCCTAGCCGAGCTGAGCTTGAGTTTTCCCAAACATAGACGAGTCAAGCTCAAACGCCATTTTAAGAGCTCGATTCGAGCTGACGTGTGAATTTTAACCAAGGTATAACTTTTTGATCAGAGGTGGAATCGATCATCAAAAGAAGAATTAGGCCAAAAGTTAGGAAACATTCTGGAAAATAGAACTTCAATCGAAGAGAACTGAGCCGAGCTTAAACACACCACTACTCAGTTCAGCTCATTTACAGCCCTACACCTAGGACACAACATCTCATTGTTGTCCTGTCAAACAGTCTAATGGAAATTAGAAGAAAAAACTAATTAATTTGTAACACCCATGACCCAACCTCAATCTTGGTGCTCCCCTGCTCACCCAATTTGTGGTTTTCAGGCGGCGTGTCACCGTGTTGACTATCTCTCTTCTTTTTTTTGATAAGTAAAAATGTATAGAGAGCGTTCAAGAGGGCAACGCGCCCCTAGAAAACACAGAGGCCGAAGCCAAAGCCAAAAGAAGGATCCTAAGGACCCTCAGAGGCCAAGAATTCAACAATCTCCTCTATAGAAGTACAAAATCTGTCCATAGCCCAACAAAAAACGAAGCTAATAATACGGAATTTCAAAGTTCCTCTGGGAGACTCCTCCCCATCAAAAGATCTGTTATTTTGCTCCTTCCAAATGCACCACCAAACACATAGAGGAGCTACCCTCAAAAAAAAATTGAGCGTGGGAGCCCACCCCAAACCCTCTCCAAGAGTCGATCAAACCTCTCGTCGTTTGGGGCATAACCCACTGCACTCCAAACAAGCCAAAAATCAAACTCCAGCAGTCGTGAGCCACTGGGCAATGCAACAACAAGTGATCCACTGACTCACCATCCTTTTTGCACATGCAGCACCAATTCTTCTAAGGTAATCAAGTGTAAGAATCTTACCCCTAGTTGCAGTCCAAGCAAAAAAAGCCACTTTGAGGAGAGCCTTCGAACGCCACCCCGTTTTCTAAGGGAAATCAATCCTTGAGAAACCCAAGAGGCAACAGAAGAAGGACCGAACCTCAAAATCTCCCCTGAGAAGATGGCACCCAATAGAGGGAATCTGGACCACCCCCATCCAGCGTCTGTCTATACAGCAGATCAAGAAAGTCAGAAACATCGTCCAATTCCCAATCATAAAAATGTTGTCAAAAACGCACATCCCAAGTAATCATTCCGCTATCAAGTTGATAACAGTCAACTACCCAAGCATGTTTGTCCACGACAATCCCAAAGAGCCTAGGGAACGAACAAGCCAACGGACGCTCCCCACATCAAACGTCCTTAAAAAACCGAGTGTCCCTGCCATCTCAAACTTTGAATCTGATGTGTTTCGAAAACTCATCCCAGCCCTTTCGAATGAACTTCCAAACCCCAACACCACCAGGTGATCTGACCACACAGGAGCACCACCCACCTCTCTCTTACCCAAAGCGACAAGAGATGACCCTCCTCCATAATCGATGCCTCTCCCCTCTAAATCTCCAAAGCTACTTCCCTAAGAGAGCCTTATTAATAGGGATCACCCTCTTAATACCCAAACCACCCAACTGGATAGGCCTCCCAACGAACAAGATGGTACTTGAACTCATCCCCTAACCCACCCCAAAGGAAGTTCCATTAAAGCCTTTCAATCCTTTCGGCCACGGTGGCTGGGATCTGAAAAAGAGAGAAATTATGTGGGAAGACTCGCCAATGTGCTCTTCATAAGGGTCGAAAGATACTGCTTCTTCCACCCAACAAGTCTCTTCTCAACCTAGTCTCAACCCCCCACCCTTCTTGACGGTGAACCCAGAGGTAAGCCCTAATAAGAAATGGGGAAAGAAGAGATCCCACACCCAAGCACCGCTGCAAGCTCATCAATGTTATGCACCTCCCCCACAAGGACTAACGAACTCTTCCCTACATTCACTTTCAGACCCGAAATAGCCTGAAAGCAAACTAAAGCACATCTCAAATATCTCATCTGGGACACATCAGCATCACAGAAGACCAATGTATCATCCGCAAACAACAAATGGGAAACCTCTATCTAATGATCTGAGTCTCTGCCCACCCTGAACCCCTAATGAATCCCAAATCCAAAGCCCTCCTCATCAACTTGCTAAGAGCCTCCATAACAATAATGAACAAAAAAGGAGAAAAAGGATCCCTTTGTCTCAATCCCCGGGAACTGTCAAAGAAGCCAGACAAAGGCCCATTCAACAACACCGAGAATCTCACTTACAAAATACAAAACTCAATCCACCTCCTCCATTTCACCCCAAAACCCAGCCTCTCCATCATATAAAGCAAAAAACTCCAACTAACATGATCATAAGCTTTCTCAATATCAAGCTTACATAGAACTCCTGAAACACCACTACTCAACCTAGCATCCACACACTCACTAGCAATGAGTGTTGAATCCAGGATCTACTGACCCCCAATGAAAGCATTTTGAGATTCTAAAATAACTCCATCTAAAGCATCCCTCAACCTCGCGGCAAGAACTTTAGCTATCAGCTTGTACAAACACCCCACCAAGCTAATAGATCTAAAATCCTTCACATCAGTGGCACCACCATTCAGTAGTTTATTTACCGAGAAGAGGTGTGGAGAGTGCAAAGAGCTCAAGGTGAGAAATTAGTGGGTGTGGGAAAAACTCTTGTTCTAGAGTTTTTACTCTCATTATATTTGAGAGGACACTTTGTGTGGTGAGAGAGTTTTTGTTTAGAACTTAGTATTTCCTTGTGAGTGATTGGATAAAAAAAGGTTGAGGGTTTGTGAGTGACATCTTTTTGTAATCCTCTATATTGTACGGTTTACAATTTCTAGTGGAAATCTGGCTCTCTATGGACGAAGGCGTGTTTTTGCCGAACCACGTATAATTTCTTGTCTTGTGGATTTGCAAGTAGAAGTCTCAGACATTGAGATTTGTGAATTCTAGCCAAGGGGGAGATTGTTGGAATTGTGGCTGAAATTCAACAATGACTCCTAATCTAGAAGGTCAATAATGTGGGCTACCAATTTTAGTCCTAAGTAGAAGCACCATCTACCTATTGTTTGTTTCACACTTGAAGAGTTAAATTTTGCTACACCTACCATTGACATTGGAAGGCTTACTTCTCCTATAAAAGGAGTGATGATAAAGAAAACAAACTCAAACCCACAAGACAATAAATTAGATGTGGTTCGGTAAAAACACGCCTTCGTCCACAAAGAGCCAGATTTTAATCGTACAATATAGAGGATTACAAAGAGATGTCACTCACAAACCCTCAACCCTTTTTCACCCAATCGCTCATAAGGAAATACTAAGTTTTAAACAAGAACTCTCTTATCACACAAAGTGTCCTCTCAAATACAATGAGTAAAAACTCTAGAACAGAGTTTTTCCCACACCCACTATTTTCTCACCTTGAACTCTTTGCACTCTCCACACACCTCTTCTCGGTGGTGTGTTGTGTGTCTTTAATTGCCTTCCACGCTTCTCCTTTTATAGGAGAAGAAGTAAGCCTTCCAACGTCAATGATAGGTGCAACAAAATTTGACTCTCCAAGTGTGAAACAAACAATGGGTAGGTGGTGCTTCCATTTAGGACTAAAATTGGCAGTCCACATTATTGACTTTCTAGATTAGGATTCATTGTTGAATTTCAGCCACAATTCCAACAATCTCTCCCTTGGCTAGAATTCACAAATCTCAATGCCCGAGATTCCTACTTACAAGTCCACAAACACTCCATTGGCCTTCCGTATACCAACTCCACATAACCCAAATCAAGTTATAAACAAACTCCACCTTGATTCCACGGCTAATGCATACATACAGCTATACCAAGTCAACATGATCAAGTGCCTCTGAAAAGGGACCTCAATAAAACCCCTTCACACGCAGGAATTTCCATCTCACCATCATTTGTTTGGAAACACGTCACCCCCGTCTCTATTTCATCCACCAATGAGACCCGTCGTAACATCTTGCTTTCACGTGCCCATTTCCAATCAAAAATTGAAGTCTGAGTACCGTTGGTACCCCTTACCAAATGATATAATCCACCACTCTTTTTTCCTCGCATCAACACCATGCAGCCTTTTGTAATTTTCATGACTCCCCCTACAATGGAGCACTTGCAGTCTATGGAATCCAACTGGCTCAAGGATATCAAATTACATTGCAACTTTGGTATGTAGGCAACGTCCCCCAAAGTGCATTCCACTCCACTAAACATTTTGATTTTTACCGTTCCCACACCCTACATGGTACACTTATCACCATTATGCATAGTCAAAGAACTATTCTCAAGTCCTTAAAACAAATCAAAATATTCTTTCACAAAGCAAATATGATTTGTAGAGCCCGAATCTAATATCCAGTCATGTTGAGTAAGAGTGTTACCTTGGGAAATTATGAGGGCATTTCCAAAGTATTCGTCTGAAACATATGTGATAGATGCATCATTCTTGCCACCATCTTCCTTTCCCTTTCCAAGTGGACAGTCCTTTCTGATGTGGGCCCATTCATGACATCTATGACACTGCTTGCCCTTTCCTCCCGTTGATCTAGACTTGCTATTCTTGGATCCACGGGTATACTGATCATGCTTCAATTGAGTTTTGTGGTGAGACTCTTCGCTAAATACAACTTCTCAAGCTTATCCCACAATTTTGGTGCCGAATTCTCTCCATTAACATTGTTAATGATATTATCTCCGATACAGAGCCGAATAGTGCAGAGACATCGCAGCTCTATATCTTCCCACTCATGGGCTGCCATATTTTCTGGCTAACCATCCATTCCCTTCAAAGCTCGGTGTAAGCCTTGTTGAACTAGGATGTCCTGCACTCTACTTTGGCAAAGAGTGAAGCTACCCTTGCCATCAAACCTCTCCACCTTAAATTGTGAAGCAAGATTACATTATCACCGGCCATGATTGTCACAAGTGCCCAAGACAAACAACACCAATGTTATGATAAAAAAGTCTAGACCAAGAATTTGGTTATTTCAGGCTTTTGATATTTTGGATTAAAATAGATTTTAAAAATAGGGATAAAATTGTCATTTTGCACCGTTTTAATGGAAAAGGAAATTGGGGTCTGAGTGATGGTTAATTTCGAAAAATATTTTAAGAGTGATATTTAGCCAAATCTGGGAGGTGTCTGTGAAATTAACCCAAAAAAAAAAAAAAAACTGATGCTCTCATGCTCTCGCTTTGTGTAACTTAGGACTCTCAAGTAATAAAATATTTTTCAATTATCCAAAGAAAAATAAAAAATAAAATGAACAAAAAAACAAATCCTCTATAACATATGACAAAATCACTTTAAAAAAAAAGGCACTCCCTCTTCACAATAATATTAACAATTACTAGAAGGTAAAGCCTATGAACCAACAAATGTGGAATCGTCCTTGCTAACTAGTGTCAATAACTCTTCCAATTAAAAGAGTAAGCTCAAAAGGTGCACATATTGTCTTCTTCTCCTTCAAAATAGGAAACGAGATTTCCAAAAACAAGTCATATTTAAACATAATAATATTTTACAAACATTACTAGGGTATATCATTGTATTTATGTCTGTATATACTATATACCATGCTCCAACATCATCAATGAGAAAATAATAGCACTACTGCCACCGGTTTTTAAGCAACTCAATGCCCTAGAGATAAGACATGAACGATCAACGTGCTACAATTGTCTAAGGCACTACTCATAAACACGTAAGTATTTGCACCAACTAGAAGCAAGCAGACTCATTCACCAACTGAAACTCATTAGCTAATAAGATCGAGTCAAGGCAGACTATTTCTCCTGTACTTCCTATGGCATCAAGGGAATTTTGAGCATACTTAACACTATAGAAGGAGGACCAGTAGACAGTATTCAGTGGATGATACAACATTAAAGGTTTACATCTTCAATTGCTTGTCTATACGATGTAGCAAATAATAACTCGCATTTGAAGTGGCAGCGAAGTCACTATACCAGAAGGCTAAAACAGATGCAATCACAGAAAGCAAAAACAATGATCTCTAAACAAACTATATGTAAGGAATGATTTAGGAATAATTTGTAGTGAGACACACAGCATTCCTTTAGTTTCATGTTTTCAATTGCTTGTCATGTGCACTAGGAAGCACGGACACTCCAAAATGGGCGAAGAATCCGTGTCCGACAAGTGTCGGACACGGACACGCCCCAACACGTGTCAGACACGCTAAAAAAAGTGTCTGGAATTTTTTATTTTTTTTGAATTTTCGGACACGGCTCGGACACTCCGCGGACGCGGACACGGCATGGACACTTCTGGAAATTTTTTTTTTGAATGCTGATATGTTCTTTTTTTTTTGGTTTTGTACTACCCTTTTGGTATTGTAAATGGTAAAAGTCCTAGGTCAAATGATGGATGGGAATAGATGATAGTACACTGACTTGTTTTTGTATCTTGTTTGGGGACTATTCTTTAGATTTTTGTGAATGTTAACTGTTAACAGTAAAGTCATGAATGTTAATAGTCCTTTCTGTCTATGCTTTTGTATTTGGAGTAAAGTTGCAATGATGATTAAATGATACTAGTTATTATTCTAATGTCTTATTTTTTATTTGGTTTTATAATTATGCAACATTGTTCTTTTATAGTTTATTAGTTATGAGTTATGATTTGTGCTTTTTTTTCATTGTGAGGTTGATGAAAAATAGTAACACTTAGTAATTTTTAAAAAACTACATCATATATATATATATATATATATATATATATATATATATATATACACTATTCGTCATGTCCGTGTCCTAATTTTTTTGGATTTGCCATGTCGCCGTGTCGGTGTCGTGTCGTATCTGTGTCCGTGCTTCTTAGCATGTGCACATCAACAAAACTAACCACCAAATGGAAGTGATATAAGTTCAAATTAAAGCTGCTAAAGCAGTGGAAAAGTAAGAGAAGTTGATAACACAACATGAAAAGGCATGATGTTCTCACAATTCAACATAAAAAAGGCCTGCAGAGTGAAATGGAAAATGTGGAGCAAATCCAGGATAGTTGAGATACATCATCACTCTAACAGAATTCATTTTGTATACTGTTAACCACCATCTACTGTAAAAGCTTAAGCTGTTACAGATGGTGTAACTTAGATATTTAAATCCTTCAAAACGGGCCCTCATGTGTGGCCTTCTATTTGGACCAACACGTGTTCCAATTTTAATTATCAGGGTTTAAACACATGAACTTGCTTGCTCTAATTCCATGTTAACCACCATCTAATCTAAAAGCTTAAGTTGTTAGAGAGGGTGTAATTTAAATATTTGAATCCTTCAACATATACTATCCAGAAGTCAAGAAATATAAGGCCTTCAGAACATATCGAAGAGGTAACAATAGCTTTTGTGAATTACGAACATTCTTTGGAAGGAACTAAATATTTAATTTTTAAACTAGAACCTGACAGTGCTCCTCTGATAATGCTTGATTGGAACGAATGATTTGGTGGAGATCAGTGTCCATAAGCTCATATGCAATGTAAACATCATTAAATATCTCCCTCTGAGGTGGCGGTATTATATCTCTTATTGCAACAACCTGCATTACAAAGTCACATTAATCAACTTGCATCAAGCTATAGCATCCACCTACTTCTTCCTGTAGAGGTTTTCTTTATGAGAGAAAAAATTAATACTAAAATGAAAGTAGTAAAAATAAAATCCCAAGACCCAATTAACACAAATCATATTACAGTCACGCATTTTAATTAAAATTGTAAAGTAAAAGGGTAACATAAAATGTAAATATAGCAGCAGGATGTTTTTGTGATATGAAACATCTCAATTAATTTGAGTTTCTCGATTTACAGATGTTTTACTTGCACACCTCACAAAATGAAGGTGGCAGGGTGAGCAACGGACATTATATATAAGGTCCTCCAAATTTGGATCTACGAGATATCAGGTTAACAGAATTATAAAATTCAGATTTGAAGATAAAACCAGAATATATGACAAAATTATGACGGAGATGAACCTCAACTAGTAACCAGGACATAAGAAGGATAATGAAGAAGATAGTACAAAGAGTTAATAACAGATGGAGAGAGAGAGAGAGAAATTTCCCTAAGCTATTACACTAATTCTTGTGAATATTTTTCCAATAACTGATACCAATATTTACATGAGGAACATATTGAAAATAAGATGAAAAATACAACACCACACAAGCCAAAAGAATTTAAGTGATTCACCTGCAATAGGCCTATCACCATGGCTAAAGATGATCAACACAGTTCAACAGAGCAACGGAGATTACATCAACATTAATTTTTATTAAAAAAAATCCACCAAAAACATATCCACTCTAAACCATAAACATGGTATAAAACCTAACACGAACTCTTTTAATTGGATAGATAATTTGTACCCAAATGTGAAACCTAAACAACAGACACAGAGTTGCACCGAACTCTTTCTCCATGAGGTGCACTCTAAGCTACATTGAGAATTATCCCACAACTTCCAGTACAAAATGTGCGCCATAGGAGGAAGGAACCCCTCCTTACCCTCCGTACAACCAATTTTTTTGACGAAGACCCTTTTATGGAGCAATGGAACAAATTTTTTGTTGGACAAAAAAAATGAAACTTTTCTCTCTTTTTTTCTTTCTTAAATAGAGAATTATGGAAAATTTAATTATTAGGATGATCATCTCAAGGAGGGTATCAACACAATCAGGATTAAGTATGTGCCTTCTTATTACCTCCTTCAGAACATGAGTAAGGAATAAATATATAATGAATGAACCCAAAACAATACATCCCATATTTGGACACACCCTCTCAATGCATAGGTTGCATGACTTGAGTATTCACATTACAAAGGTAGTCCATTTCTTTCTTACTGGAGTTTTGACTTAACATCGCAATGGCTGCCATTTATCCAGCATTTCATAAGCTTCGACTTCCACGTGCTAACCCAGCTCATTCTCAGGAAGTTTTTGGGCTCCCCAAATGCTATAATAACTAAAAGAAATGTTACACCAATACCTCCTTCCCTCACAACAAATACAGCTCCTCTTGTTTTCCTCCGACACTCCCCCAATACTCTCTGATAGATGTGAGATCATCACAGATTCCATCTGAAACCTTGATGCAACCGATCAACAAGCTCAGAATGTGTGAGAAACCACCTCTAATAGGACCTCCTTCCCTGATCTGGACAGAAATTTCTCCTTCCATCTTTGTACCTTTTTTCACAGCCAAAACAAATTACAGAGTACATCTGGAACTTGAGGAAACCCAGCAAATAGTTCATCAGAATGCACGAGCAAATCACCTCCTTTCCCACTCTGGAGTGGGTTACTCCTTCCACAGCTGCACGTTTCTTTACAGTTGCTCGTTAGTAGGTTTCTTGAAAGTTTGTCTCTTTGATTACCAAATACCCTATTAGGCTATCATTGTAGGTAAACCCAAATACTTATCATAACAGACCACTTAACATTGAAAACTTCCAACAATTTTTGCTCTAGCGGAAGACACATTCTTGCTATAAAGGATAGATAATTTTTCCAGGTTAAATTTTTCAACAGATGCCATCTCATTTCTGCAATGTGCCTCTTATCTTAAAGCAGTGCTCACCTCAGCCCTTTAGACAAAAGACTGTCATCTGCATACAAAAGATGATTTATGCTCAAACTATTTCTGGCCAAAGTCCCAGTGTCACCCACAGATCACCCTTTTATTCTCTGCTCACTGCAGAAGCAATGAAAACTTCCTGCTATGGACAAAAGCGCTCTGATTTTCTGGGATAATATGAGGGAAGACTGCTCAACCAGTTAGCTGCGAGCCTGCGACTTCTGAAATAATTCTGTAAAGTACATTACACAGCCTGTTTGATCTGTAGTAGGTAATATTTTGTGGACTCTTCACCTTAGGTATAAGAATCATATAGCAGACAGTACACTAATCCTTTTGAAAAGGAAAGCAGGCATACAATCAGGCTTTAGATGAGTGCATTTTCTTAAGGGCTTGATGCACTCCCTCATTGGAATTTCTGCATGAGAGTCCCGTCAAAGCTTGTTGTGACTCGACTCTCTTTAGTTGACCCTCTATTTGTCATTTCCAGTGGATGAGCCGCAATCTGATGCATTTAATTTTTTCACACACTTTGAACAGATTGGACCCCTACTGCTAAAATTCCAAGCTTCCACAATGGTCTATTTACATTTATCTTCCCTTGTCCACATCATTTCAAATCCTAATTCTACCCAACTTCCTCCAGTGCTTCTACCCACATTCATGTTTTTTGTGTTCATCAAGAGTGGTAGATGGTCTGAGACACTAATCTGCAGAAACGAAATCTACACTCACGGGAAAAATAGCACAGATCTAGATTATCGTGCCTGAACAATCTGAGACTCACAACTCTAGTGGTATTGCTTACCCTATTCCGTTCTGAAAGCCTATCTTTCTAGTGATAAACTCCAATTCTTCTGCACCCAGTTTCACTTCCATCTGCAAGGCGTCAAAAACTTCACTCCTCACTAAATCAAGGAGAGCAAAGCAATTCCAACTTATGGTATTCATTGCACTTGGTGGCATTAGAAACCAGTTGGCACCATCAATTGATGATTCCGTCGTAACACTCTCTTCTTCTGGTGGTCGTCCCAGTTTTAGCATATCTCCATATCAACAAGGCTGCATTTACCCACCTTCATCAACGATTTTCTGTTCTGATCAGTACCAGTCCTGTTCTTCGATTTCCTTCATGTATTATATCCTTCATTTGATTGTCCATTGCTGGGGGAATTATCACATCATCCTTGTGGGATTGAGCCACGGATACATCCACGAATAGCTTGAAGTCTTTGACCATCAAATGGCCCACCACATAAACTAGAACTCCCTACTGTGGACCAATTCCAAAGCCAAACCTTTCATCAGTTTGGTATAATTGTTAACTTATATTGGTCAGCATCAGTATTCTCAGATATCTTCTCCTACCATCCACACCTCCTTCAATGCAACATCCTCACTTCCATAACCTATTGCCTACCAGCTTTCCCCAGTATTCATACAGATGAGTAGCAAATAAAAAACCTGGATGACAATGGAGCAAAAGAAAACTGAATTTATGATGGTTGTTCACCAAACTCTTTAAAAATCACTAAACTCTTGTATGAATTCCAAGGCTCCACGCCCCTCTTTCAGGACCCTATATTTATTAAAATCATATTCAAACTCAATTAGGAAAGCAATTTTTTTTTTTTATAAGATTGATTTCAATAAAAAGTGCTCAAAAGGGGAGCGCAGCCCAAGAACAAAGGCAAGACCAAGATGGTCTACTATACAATCAAAGAATTCACAAAAGACACCATATCCCCCACTGACTTAAAATTAAATCCCTGAACCCAAAAAAATAGAGTATAAAGAATAGAGAACTTGAGCATCCATATCGGAACCACGACTCCATCAAAGGACCGCCTATTCCGCTCTTGCCACAACCCCCACCATAAACAAAGGGGTGCCACCCTCCACGCATCTCTAGCTTACCTCCACACTGCACACCCTCTCCAAGCCTCAAGCATGCTCTATGGGAACTCCGGCATGACCTACTAGACACCAAAAGGAGCAGCATATCCCAGCTGTCTCGAGCTACTGGGCAGTGCAAGAGAAGATGACTAACTGTCTCTTCATCTCTCTTGCACAAACAACACCAACTGACAAAAGTCTACCCACCAGGCATAAATCTCGATTCACCACAAAGCTAAAGTTCAAGTGTTCATCCACGATTCAGCCCTCCTCTCCTTCCTTTAAACCTAGACCCCTTCACAAATCCCCTTAACTGCTCCATCAAAAGTACCATTATCCCCTCTCAGAAAACCTGGGAGCACTCTCAAAACTTAAGGAAGAAAGGACTTGCACAGGAAAAACAAAAAAGTCTACTACAGGAATCCTAGTTCCAGAAGAAATCGGGTTTTGAGAAAGTTGTGAAATTTGTCAATTTCTTTCTCAAAAAGTAAACCCCAAAAAAAGTCCCAATAAAATTAGGAACTTGAGAAAAAATCCAATAACACATATTCCCCCAAGTACCTTTTATGTTTCTTACCAGTATATTATAGCTAAGAAATTAAACTTTCATAGGTAAAGAAAAGGGAATTGTCCAGTGCATCTCGTGCCTATGCAGGGCTCTGAGAATTGAAGAATGGAAACAAATCTAACTTCAGTTCTGGTATGGCACAAAACGGCTAGTTCTTGAGATCCAAACTCAGGTTCTTCTGCTTTGTCATTTTTACATTTGCACCCGGCCATGCAATGTATAAGAATGATGCTCTAAAAATTTTGGCACCAAATCAGGAAACAACCACTTATGATGATTCAAAAGGCTACCAAAAGGAGAAGAATGAGAGGAATGACAACAGCCCTAATTCCTGACCTCTAAAGGCAAACAAAAAAATTTCCCACAACACATCCTAGGTTAATGATCGGTATAAAAAGTCTACATGCTGCAAGTAAGATCTAGTGAAGTTCGTCTAAGTGTGTGCCATGTATTAGGTAATTCATTTGAAAATGGACATCTCCAAATAATAAGCATTTTATGTGTAATTGCACTCCAAATTAAAGAAGAAAAAAAAATCCTATATATAACTGAGCTTATTCTTATGTTCATGTGTAATAGAATAGAACGGAAATAGAGAATTATGTGGCTGACTGAATTCGTTTGGGATAAAGGCAATGATGATTATGATTCTTATATTGCATTTACTAGTGACTTTTCTAACTAAATCTATGTGTGTTCGCTTAATATATCCCACCTGATCAAAGCAATTTCGAATTAAAATATACCATGATTGTAATCAATAAAGATGTAGTGTCGCTGTTTAGGCAGCTTGTTCTTCTTTGGGAGCGCTCCCCTTTTGAGTGCCTTTAATGAATTTTTACTTATAAAAAAAATAATAATAATCATAATTAAAATGTTAATCTATATTAGGATTTTACTAAATAGCTGCTACTAAGAATTTAATTACTCTCATATACATTGATTTTAATCAGTAGCAATCATAATTAATATTGTAATCTATATTATGATTTTATTCAATAGTTACTACTAAGAATTTAATTAAGCTCTCATATGCACCATAATAATAATAATAATAATAATGATAATAATAACAAATAATAATAATAATATAATGCAAGATGTATTCAGTCAACGCTAGCCTTAAAAACAAAATGAAATTCCATAACATCGCTAGCAGTCTACCACTAAAGGTAAAAAGTAAGGAGTATTGAATTCTTCATCAGTTTTCTATTAGCTAACCAACTGATAAAAGTGAGATGCAGTAGTTTCTATCGTCACCACTAAAGCAAACCAAAGTGGACATTTACATGCCTATATAGATTGATGTAGCCTTCCCCACCTTATAATTTGAAATTCAGCTTGTACATGCCTAGTTCTATTAAATGCTGTCCCACGTAATATAACAGGATCTCAAAAGGAAAAAGGAAGGAACCAGATTTGACAAGTATTAGAGTCATACAGCAGTAATTTTATCCACGCAACAAGCAAATGCACATATAATGACGTTATAACATATTCTTAATAGAGTATATAGGAGGCATCATGCAATGCTATTCACATTTCCTTTCCCAAGGGGTTAGTTAATGGTAGTTCCGACAATGCTATTGGTTAGCAGCAGCTTGAGTAATTAATCATTAAAGTGATTCTTCTTTCTTAATTTGGTCATTAAACATTCAAATATTAAGACATTTCTTTTCCATTCATTGAAAGTTAAAAATCTCAGCACATAACAATCACCAAATAATGGAATAAAATTACTGAACTTTAATAGGTTCTAAAAATTATCAAATCCTAATCCATTATGATCTTGATTTCGCAAAAACACAGAAGAACAAAAAAAACAAAAAACAAAACAAAAAAAAAAAAAAAAAAAAAAAAAAAAAAAAAAAAAAAAAAAAAACCTTTAATGCAATGATTTCAATTGATCAGAAAAAGAAACTATCGCTCACTGACGTTTTCATGATCCATGTGACGGAGTAGTTTGATCTCGCGTAGAGTCCTCTTTGCATCAACTCTATTGTCGAAGGCATTCGCTATCTTCTTTATTGCAACGTGCTCATTGGTCTCTGAATTCAAGGCGGAACTAACGAAATAGAATTTACCATAAAAACATTAATAACTAGTTATAAATCACATAAAAGTCACATTTCCCAAAAAAAACATGAAAAGAAATTGAAGATGTTTATGTGAACGTTTGTATATTTTGATATGAACCTAATTATTCTAGTAATTATTTTATAATATAATAAAATATATATCAAATGCTTATGGTATCATGTTAAATATTTTTTTAAGTTTGAATTTGATTGATTTAATTAGGCTTGATTTAGGGAAAAAGTTATTGTTGTTGTGTGTGTATTGTAGATGATGCACAGGTATCGGTCATGGAATGAAATATTTGAGTTCAAGAGATTGAAAGCCACCCATAAAAGCGATCAATTAAGTGGACAATCACCCATGAGGAGATCAACTCTTTCATATTGCACTCCTTTGGCACCACGCACATGGTATATCCTTAAAAGTTAAGATGAAGCTCATGTAAAGTGTCGACAATTTTTATGACAGAATGGTGAAAATGGAGGAGAGAGCAAGAAAACATAGAAACAACAACAATGTTTTGCAAATCTTAAGGACAAACTGACCACTCAATCAAAATATCTTATTGTTTCTGTGGAGAAACTAAATTATGAGAATGTTAATTCAATATAAAGCAATGAGTTATTTAAGAACTTTTGACTTAGTGAGGAAGGAACGGTTATGGTTGTTTCTTTCAAGAAGGCTTTTATTTATTTTTTGTTAAGTAAAAAGTTTCTTTCAAGAAGCTGAGAACCGTGCAATGTAATTCTAATCATTATATTACAGAGTTGATTCTAGTAAGGTGGAAAGAAACCACGGGATAATGAATGAAGAGCCTTCGGGTTGGATGCTCTTACGTGGACAAATAAGGAGCTCAGAGTTAAGAATTATCCACCTCAAAAAACAAGGAGAAGAATCACCGGGGCACTTTTTATTTCAATTTTGTGTGTGTATATGTGTGTGTGTGTGTGTATGACAATAATTCTAGAGTTGTCCCCTCAAAATTTTCAAAACAAAATATATTAAAAATCTCCAAGAGAATTCCACTTTAAATCATTTAAAACCCAAACTCATGACCAAATCTAACACCTAACTAACTTATATTAGGGCTCTTCCTAAAAGATATCAGTAAAGTTGCAAGGACAATTTGCATTTGAGACCTCCCTGCAAATCAAAAGGCACCTAGAAGTAAAATTCTAGCTCCATTATGCTAATGATTTCTATAAAAAAAGTTACCATTAATTTGCTTAATCATTATTCATTATAGCACTTCTCTACACTAACGGTGTGTTAGTTTGAATCTTAATGAATTATAATTGAATTAGAAGGACATTTATTCTCTCTATACACACACACATATATATAGATGCCGTATGACATTCATCGTGAAAATGAAATGTTTGATTTCTTGAAGACAAATAGCACAAAAAAGTAATCAACTTGGACGATGATTATTAACGAAAGTGATCAGTTTTTCATATAATTCATGTCTCCGTCCTTTGTTATATACACACACAACAAAAACTCATAGATATATATAGAGAGAGAAAGAGTGAGAGAGATGATACCATACTATGCCGTACGCTCCTTTACCGATGGGCATGATGGGGGGCTTGTACTTGGCGGTGACTTCGAAGATGTTGCCAAATATGTTGTATTGGATGAATCGGCCACCGTGACTGAGCGCGGCCGGAATATTCTCGATCCCGGCCACCGGCTGCGGCGGTGGGTCAGATTGAGGAGGAGGGGCCGCCTCTGACATCACGGTGTCTGATGGCTGAGCTGGAGCATCCATTTTCTAAACCCTAGACTACGATTGGCTCTCAGTCTCTCCCTCTGAAGCGATTCCAGTTGTTGTTAGAATGCCATGTCTAATGTCTTAGCTGCGAATCTATATATCTCCCATATATGACATACTTTAATGCGTATCTGACTTTTTTGTCAATCTAAGGTGATGTTTGGTGAGTGAATAGAATGAAATGAATTGGAAATAAAACGTTTTTATTTCTATTTTTTAATTTGGTAATTAATTTTAAAGTTGTAATAATAATTTTTGTCAATTTTTCATAATGATAATTTTCAGTAATTTATTCTATTTTTTAATTAAAAGAATGATCATTTCATTCTTATTTTAAAAATAATAATAATAAATGAATAAAAAAATATTTAATGAAAAGTCGGCTACATATATATATATGTATGTTTAAAAAAATAGGATTTTTTTTGTGTAATCAAATATGAGAATGAGAATGATCATTTCATTCTTTAATTCATTCTATTCCCACTTTATTTCATTTTACCACACTAATCTAACTTTAATTACTTTAATTATAAATTAACATTTTTAAAAATATATATATTATTATGGATATTAATAATTAGATTGTCTGATTAAAAACGTTTTTGAACCACTTTTGTATACCCTTGCTTTTTCAAGAAAGGAAAGGAAAATTGATTAAAGTCACTTAATGTTTTAAAAAAGGAAAGAAAATTGATAGAAGTTCTTGGATATTGTGATTTTTTATTTTTGAAACAATAGTGATGTCCGGCCTGTTAAGGTACTGTTACATAGAGTCTAATTCTCCCAATGACGTGATATGCACTTGCAAAAATACTAGAAATACTTATCTATATATGCCTAAAAATCTCTTAGATACCGACTATTGAAAGTTCAAAAATACGCTCATTGGACATTGTAGCATTTTACTCAAAAAGAAATTGACATAATTGTTTTTTATTTTTATTTTTCTTAGTAAGAACCTGATATCACTAGATCACTGGCCGGTTGGTATATTTGTTTTTTACAATTGTTTTCAGTAATTATTTTAAAATGTATTCATTTGAGGATAATTTTGTTGTTTTATTTATTAAAAAATTTAAGTATAGTGCAAGTAAATAAAATTAAGAGTTTGAATATTATTTTGCTAAATATAAAGGACCAATTTTCTACATGGTCTCTGGTCAACATAAATAAATTTAATTCTCGCTGAAAAAGCATTGGTCCTTGTGAACACATCATCCATTCTTTTACAATCAATTAGTTAATTATTCTTTATCTTTTGAAATAAATTTTCAACGCTAAACGTGTCAATGAGAGATTCAGAACCCAAAAAAAGTATGTATATTAATGTTACACTTCCTTATCTAAAAATTATCAATAATTATAATTATTATTTTTGCATTAAAAGGTATTTTTCCTTTTAGATTCCTTCTAATTTTTGTTTGATTAATATTTCAATTTCATTATATGATTCTGAAATTTTGGTTTGGCGTTCATACTTTACTCTACCGAATTTATGCATTGAATTCAAAATTAATTAAAATTTTAAATAAAATTTTAATTAAATTTCTTTTAATTTTAAATTCCGTCTTCGTGTTTTTAGTGAGGGTTTGAGAGTGACTTTGGTGGTTTTTAATTCTTAAACTGTCAAGTTGCAAGCAGAACTATAAAGTATAAACAATAAAAAAAAACTGTCGGTTAAATTGTGATTGAAATGACAGATAACCAACACGTGTTAGCTATATGACATACTATATATATATATATATATATATATATATAGTTTTGTTTGTACATAGCATATTTTACACTCCCAAATATAAAAACCGTTTAGTTGATTTAAGAATTTGTAATAAATATATTGGATTAAGTTTTGAAACTCCAAGTGGCAGGCACGTTCTTTGGATTAAAACAGTTTAAACCATATTGGATATCGTTAGGCAACACAATTACTTTGTACTTCTATTTTGATTTGATGTAAAAGTAATGTTTTCGTTTTTAAAATGTGTTTAAAAATTTATCTAATAACGTAAATTTATTACAAAATTTTTAAAAATAAAAATATGATAGCATATTTGGTAAAAAATGTTACAAGTTTGAAAATTTAAATGCTTAGTTAAAAATGTTATTTTATAATTTTATAATTTTTTATTTTTTATGAACAGTGTTTTGTTACAGTGCGGAAACAAACAAAAACACTATTTTGATGCTTCCGATTTTGACCTTAATTTTGGAAACGTTTTGGTATTATTCAAAAACATAACAAATATTACCAAACATGTTTTGTGTTTTTGTTTTACTAAAGTACATTAGCAAAAGCAAAAAACACGAAACAAAAGCACTAACCAAACAAGCCCTTAACCTAAAATTTGTAATTTGTAGGAGATACAAGAAACAACCGTGATTTTTTTTTTTTTTTTTTAACACTTAACTTGTGTTATATATATATAAAAGGAGATAAAGTTACGATAAGAAATGATTAGGTTATTTGACATAGGTTATTCAACGGAGATAACGTTATCATTCAGTTTAGTTTGATTTTTTAAAAGAGTCTGGAACTCAACTGCTAGTTATATATCTAGACTTGGTATATCGGCATTTCATTATCTACGATACTATTTTTTGATGTCTACACGAGCATTCAAATAAACGAAGAAGCTTTAGCAGACTTCATTTTCAGGCAAGTTAATACTTGCTTTAAATTCTGTGTATATTTGTATTTTGGATTTTAGATGATTATTTATGATTTATTAAATCTTATGATAATTTATTTTAATTAGTGGGTTGGAGATTACGTACAAAGTTATGAAATAATCCAGGCACATGTGATTATAGTTGATTTTGGAGAAAGTATTTAATTGAATGAATTTTGGATTCTAAATGATATTTTACATAATTAGCATGTTTGGTAGATACATAAATGATGGATATATATATATATATAAATAGAGGTGGGTGTTCAATTATCATATAACTGGTCATTGGTTTCCGTACATATATGGTATTTTGTTTTAATCATCATATTTGTTGGATGTCTTACTACATTGATGTATTTATGGACTTGTGCAAATGGGTGTTAACTTTTAAGATTGGTTTGTTCAGTACTAGTGTGGCAATGAAATCCCAAGTATGGACTTGCAGGTAAAGTTGATTGATTGGATGAAAATAAAGAGGAATAGGTCTCAGATTGGTGGAAGGCAATGGTTTATTTTGATTAAATGAATGGAAATTTTACCACCATGGAATAAGCTTACGAAATGGAGGAGAATAAGTTTTGGCAAGGTAGGTTGAAATTTAGAGTATAAGTTCGCAACTTATTGTAATTAGGACTATGAGTTGATACTGGTATGTTGGTATTTATTAATTAAGGTGTTTGATAAACTCATGATATTATGAGTAAGAATTATTTAAATATATTTAGTGTTAATTGATGTGATTAAACTAGTTGGAGCATTAATCTAGGACTTATACAATGATGTGTTTGTTGAGAGCAGTCAGGTACTGTCTTCGGGAGTGAATTACTCTTTTGTTATGGCCATTGGACTAAAGGTGCCCTTAGTACGCGGATATGGTCAGGGGCCATCTTAGTGAGTAAACGTATAACCCAACCACACGTGTGTATTTGGTAGTCAGTGACTATGCAATTTACACCATTTATTTGAAATGAAGCCAGGGGCTCATGTGAGGTAATGACATTAGAACGCCAACTGGTTGAGGGGAGCCAGGGGCTCATGTGAGGTAAGTGAAATTTTAGTAATTTAAATTCTAGATGGGTTACAAGTTCACCGTTTGAGTTAGTGTTATAGAATGACGATGATTATATTTCGCGGTCACTTATATATGTATATTTATACGGATTATAAGTAATGATTGACTTGCTGAACGATGATAATGTTTAGCAATTTCTAGCTGAGCTTGTGAGCTCACCCCTTTATCACTTTCAAGTGCACATGGATTTAGCTTGCAAAGGAGGCTTAATGGCAGATGGAGATTTTCCGGATTTTCCACATTTTGGTTTTATTATTGTTTCTTAGCAAACACTTTGTAATAAAATCCATTTTATATGTTGGTGGATGTAATAAATCTCCTTTGGATTAATGGATTTTTAAATAAAATGTATTCTTACTGATTTAATCATGAATTTTGGTAAATGTATGATATGAGTCACGTACTAGATTTTAGTATAAGATAAGGGTCCTTGTGTTAAAATTTTTAGGGCATGACGGGTTGGTACAGTGATAAAAATTGGATCTATTAAGTATGAGAATGGTTTTCAAATACTATTATTTATTTATTTGTATATATATATAATCAATTCATTGAACAATCTCAACCATCTTTATACATCTTAGTAACTTAAATAAATTATACCATAATGAACACTTCAGCAATTTATTAACAAACCATAAGTGGTTTACATTGGATAATTTAATTGGAATATATGGTAGGTTTTTTTTTTTTAGTTGGATACTTACACACACACGACTTCACGGAGGCTCGAATTCCTAACCTCTCTTTGAAAAGTAGGGACTTGGTACCGCTAGGCCACTGGCATGTTGCTAATATCCATTAAAGAAGACCACTGATTAAATGTGAAGCATTCATGAAATACACTACAAAATGTTACTTCAGCAAAATGATTCACCACTCTCTAGAAGAGATATATAACTGGAATACATATTTTCCTCCACATTGAAAAAGATTTTCAAAATGTGGATAAATTTATGAGCAATTTAAAAGGAATTGCAATTTGTTGGGAAACTATTCAGATGGCTCATCAATGGCCTTTCCTTTCTCTCTTAGTTTAGCCATGGATTCTTTCATGGCTTCCTTCCTTTTCTTGCTAGCTAGAACTTTTGCCAGAACACCACTAACATTGGGGTCCTTTTTCTCTCCGGGTGGAGGCGGCGGAGGCCTTCTGGCGGCGGCGATTGCACTCCGATCGCCGACGGTTAAGCCAAGCGTTGCACCAACTAAGCCCAACATAACAACCCTAAATCATGAACCCATGACACACGTTAAGATTGACGATTTATGCGCTGAAGGTGTTAGACTTCAAACCCTTCAATGCATTAAACAATTGTCAATGTTGTTAACACACTCACACACAAAATTCAATTAGAGGCCCACAATTTGAAGGACAAGAAACAAAATATTTGGATGCATCAAGTAAACTGTAACTACTCTAGGAGATGATGACAAAAGTCATGACTGTAACCAATCAAGTTCCCCCAATATCCTCGTTAGGACCATGTATTCTGAATTTTTTTTCCACAAACATTTACATAGATGATTTATACTTCACATGTCTAACTATAAGACGGGTCTTCTTTTTATTTATTAATAAATATACAACATTGGAGGAGAAATTTTTAGATGGTCCGAGATTATTAATCTGAGCCAATCATCACTGGACTCATAAGCAAGCAAAAAATTAGCCCGGAACTATGTAATAACTTGTATGATTAGAGACCTAATCTTGAACCCATGATATACGTTAAGATTGACGATTTATGCACTGAAAGAAAGCATTAAAGTGATCATTTATTGGTACAAATTAGTAATACTATGACTCTAATCTTATATACTCACCACAATTGGCACCACAATTAAACAATTGTCAATGTTGTTACAAAATTCAATTAGTGGCCTACAATTTTAAGGACAAGAAACAAAATATTTGGATGCATCAAATAAGTGTAACAACTCTAGGAGACAATGACAAAAGTCATGACTGTAACCATTCAAGTTCCCCCAATATCGTCACGACTCATGAGGACCATGTATTCTGAATTTTTTTTCCACAAACATTTACATAGATGATTTTTATATATTTATTAATAAATATATAAAATTGACTTATTCGAGGATAAATTTTTAGATGATTTCAGATTATTGATCTGGACACGTAAGTCAGCAAAAGATTAAATCAGAATCATGTAATGACTTTTATGGTTGGAGACCTAATCATGCTGAGTATATAAAATTCTCATTGTAGCCCTCTTCAGATTTACTTTTTAACTCAACTCAACAAAGTTTTTTCCCCCAAATTATTCCTCTCATTTTAATTGAAAAAAAAATAATAATAATAACAAAAATAAAAAATAAAAAATAAAAAATAAAAACATTGCATACCCGGACAGCACTATGTAGTACTGCCAATGAATATTCATCTGAATATTTTCTTTGAAAATAAAAATCAACAATTAACCATTAACCGAGAACTAAGGTACTACATTCTTGGCACCTCCGAAATACAACCGCGTGCTATCTTAACTCCAATGGTTTATTTTTCAAAAGATTTTAATTGAAAAGCTTTATAACATTGTTGCAGCCTCTGACATTAAAGTAACTTTATGTGAAAATGCAAGCTAACATCAGACACACACATAACACACACACACACACATACATTTTTCATGGTACAAGGCAGACAGACATTTAAATGCTGCATTCATGAAGCTTAAATGAAGGAAGATACACAAACCTGCGATGGACAAGTGTATCATCATCATCCAGGGCTTGATCAGGACCTTGGTGGCAAGCCAACACACTCAATCTCTGAAAACCAAAAGTTGGGAAATGTGTGTTCTTTGTGAATCTTGTTGAGATGGGTGTGGCAGTAGTAGCTGGAGCTGGAGTTAGTAAATGGGCCATGGTTGCATATCAGTTGGTGTGTTTGGGATTCATTTGAATTCACATTTTTAAGTGTTTTGTGATGCAGAAAACAAATCTATGAGAAGATAGTGTTTGGGAGGCTTACAAGTAAATAAAAGAGGGCTTCCATTGGTTGGACCTAGATAAGGTTCAATTTTTGTGGACCCACATGTGCCTATTTTACTAGCTCCTATACTACACAGTACGCACTCATGATTAAGCATACACACACATTTAAAAAATAAATAAATAAAATAAAAATAAAAAATAAAGAGGAGTAAGAAAAAGCAAACCATACAAACATTTATCTATTGTATAAGTTCTATTTACCTGTGATGTATCTTATGTGTTATGTTTTGGTTAATATCAAAATAATCGTTTTATTATAGAAGTGTCTTGATAAAAATCAAAATCATGTTTAGTAAAGAAAATTTATTTTTTGGAAAAATTAAAATTTTGTTTTAGTTCCTCACTATAGTATCAAATGATATGAGTCCAAATTTAAATATCAATATTAGAAAATAATATAGTAACACTTCCCAATCAGGCCCTAAGAGTTTAGGCTCCCTTTGTTTGGATGTAAAATATATTTTTTTATTTTTTAGTGTTTTGTTGTCGTAAAATATTTATTATGAAGAAAAAAAAAATTAAAACTTAATAAAACTAACTTACTAGTCAATTTTCGACAAGTTATTTTACACGTCCCTCTCGATGAACTTGACCTCAATCTCGACCTAAACTTTTGCCAAACACCGAAAAATAAAAATAAAAATATATATTTTTTTATTTCAAAAGACAAAAATCTTTTTTGAAAAAAAATATTCAAAATTTATGATATGTGTGGTACTATGGTTTTTAAGTGATTACATACATTCGAAATTTACAAATAATCTGAAAGCCTAAAACGATTAGCGGTTTACAATTGATACATTCAAGACTCAAGAGTGAGATTGGTGGTCTTTTCATGTTTATCATGCAAGTCAAAAATCAAATTAGATGAAAGATTTCGAAAGGACTTATCAATATCATAACATTTAATTAGATTTTTGTTATAGTTTATAATTTCATTTACAAAAAAACAAGATACGTACAAAATTTACTTATATTTGTTTAACTTAATATTTGATATGCATAACACACTATATATAAATAAAGAAATTTACTTAAAGTTGTTTAGAGATATTATAAAAATATCTATTTTCATACCCATGTTACCATTTTCTTTTCATTTATTTTTACGCATACTCGAACTCAATATAATAATTATAACCTTATAAACAAAACAAAAAAGCTTTGATTCCATGATCACTTCAATCACTCACTATTGTTTAAAATGGAAGAACTAAACTGATCCCACTTTCAACACGATAATAAGCCAAAACCCACTTTCAATGAATGATTGATTTTCAACGCAGCCCTAAATCTATAATTTTAGTGGAGAGAATACTTTATAAACTTATCAGTGCCGATTATTAATTTTTCTTACTGTTAAAAATTGATATGATTGGTATTTATGAAAAATAAATAAAATAATTTGATGTCATTGGTAATTTCTACATGAAATAAATTTTCAAACTTTACATCACCGTGTACAAATATACCCTATGTCATCTTAACACACAACATACACATGAAACCAAGGACTGTGTTTTTGGTGTTATGTTATGGTAACCCATAACCACCAATATCCCAAACATAATATAGACCCAAATTTAATAAAAAAAACTGTTACGATGGAATTATTCCAAACCAATATGGACCCAAATTAAAAGAGTATTCTATCATAACACATTCCAAACAGTCCCTAAATAATCGTGATCTCTAAAGCACATACAATTATTCAAATAGGTTTTCTAGAATTTACCCAGGAAAAAAGGTAGTCCCATAATCCACCACCACAGGGAATAAGCAGTCCCCCATCCCCCTAATACCGGGCAATAACTGGAAAAATTCCAAGGAATGGTATACATCAGTTGAAGCATCATGCTATCGTCAGCTAAACCACTCACCCTACAAGAAGATCAATTTGCAGCCCAAAAGTACACTATTTATGGAACATCAGAGCCTACAATCTCCACTACAAATAACACCACCAAAGTCAAAAATGAAACTGCATTTCATACCATTTAAATATCCAAATTCTAAATAGAAAAAAGGAACACACTCCAAGTTGCAAAAATGGCCAAAAGACAAAACAGAGGTCCAAAATAACAAACAGGTTCTAATTTTAACTGCAGGCCAGAAAGTTTGCTGAAGACCAACAAATATCATTTTAATTCCTCAGACGCCGCCGCTACTCTCTTCACTCGTCATCTTCATCATCATCGTCGTCATCAGCTCCAGCCGCCGAGTTCAAAGCATTCAAGCGCTCTATCAGCTTGGCCTTCCTTTCCTCGTATGTAAGCTTTTTCAAGTTGTACCTGTTGGGGGAAAAATATAGAATTACCAATATGTCCAACAATTAACCACTCAACACTTCTCAATCATCACAAAAATATTTAAAAGACAAACATTTTACCACAAAATAAGAAATGCAGTAAACCACTTCTTTAGATTTAATAATTGCAAGTCAAAAGCATTTAAAAGACAAACATTTTACCACAAAATAAGAAATGCAGTAAACCACTTCTTTAGATTTAATAATTGCAAGTCAAAAGCCTCAAAAGGTAAAAGGACAAACCTCCAATGTGCAAGATTTTGTAAATCTTTTTTTCCCCCTCATTATCAGGGGAGTTCTTGGGATTAACAGGATTAGCGAAATGAATGTAAATAGAACATATGCTTTAATACCCTAGTAATATCATTCAATAACTTCAATTTAAGTAAAAAAAAAATTAACAAAACAATATTTTGAAGCACAAATGGCCCTATATTGTAAGCAGAACTATCTTGTTTTCCAGGAAAAGAATTTTTTACCCAAAATATAAGAGCATTCAGTAATTAAAAGATGAAAATGCATTAAAATAAAAATTCCACACTTAACTACAATACTACACATAATGCATGATTTGCATGTTGATATTGACTGATCAAAGGAAAGGCAAATTGTAAGAAAAATTATAATAGTAGAACGACTGTGAATTGCCCAAACTTGCCCAAAACAAGAAACTGGGTAATAATATACCCTAGTACAAATAGATATTGACTAAATGGAAAAACAAGGCCTTACCTCTTGTGCTCCTTAGGTGCAGGTTTCTTAGTTTTCTTTGGAGTGGGATCTGCACGGATGGCAGCATGAACTTTCTTGTAAAGCTCCTCAATGCCATCTACCTCAATTCCTCTCTTGATGTACTCACTGAAGTGAGACTGATACTTTTCTGGCTCATCTTCCATCAAAGTCTGAAATACACAGCAAAGTAAGTTCAGGATGAAAAACGAGCTTTATCTCTAACAATATCATGGCATGACTTTAAATACTGAGCCTCCTTACACTCATATATGCAGCAACATGGCCCCCATAAACATACTTCCGATGAACCTCAGCATCAAGTTGTTTGGAATCCTTCGAAAAACCAGCGAACCTCTTGTCACTGTGAGGAATATCCAAACCACCATCCAATGCTCCCTGTAACCATTGACAATTGAATTACTGCTCACATTTCAAACAAGACAAGTCAACTGTGACAGTAGCAGGGGAAAAGAAAATGCCAAAAACCAAAGGTGGAAAGGTATTCCAACTTTAACCAAATAATATGGTTCTTTGAAAACAGAGCAACACCCTCAAAATAATAAATGTTAGTTGTTTCTTACAGAGCAAAGGCATCAACAAAGACCCAACATAACAGTACCACAAAAAATATGAACTTCCTTAATTTCTTACAGAGAAAAGGCATCAACATAGACCCAACATAATGGTAACACAAAATAAAAGACTTCATTAAAAGATAAAGCCGTTTGTGCACTCACCATAATGGCAGGCAATAGGGGCAATTTAAATTGAACAGGAAAATGACACACTTAAACAAATGGATCAGACCCAAAGCTTGGAACAAGTAACAAGCTCCAAAATATTGAGTACAATGACCGACATCACAATCAGGGAGCCCTAAAATTTTGATTAAAAAGGCAAAGAGTTATATAAAATTTTTAAAAAATATTTTTTCCCGACGGTAACTATATGAAGTATTCTAACTTTTACTAGCAAAAAATTTATAATATATTTATTATAACTAAATCTGAGTAACATGGACTAATTGGTCAATGAAAAGAAAGTGTCATAAAGAGTGGAACCATTTTTCTGATAAATGTAAAAGAATAATATCTCAAACACGATGTATCTTAACCTTCAGATAAAGTAACAGCAATCAAAAAATAAATTTTAAAATAAAGAGAGAAACATTCCCAAAGACCCAAAGTTTGGAACAAGTAACAAGCTCCAAAATATTGAGTACAATGACAGACATCACAATCAGGAGCCCTAAATTTTTGATAAAAAAGGCAGAGAGTTGTATAAAATTTTTAAAAAATATTTTTTTCTGACGGTAACTATACGAAGTATTCTAATTTTTACTAGCAAAAAATTTATAATATATTTATTATAACTAAATCTGAGTGACATGGACTAATTGGTCAATGAAAAGAAAGTCGCATAAAGAGTGGAACCATTTTTCTGATAAATGTAAAAGAATAATATCTCAAACATGACCTTCAGAGAAAGTAACAGCAATCAAAAAATAAATTTCAAAATTTTAAAATAAAGAGAAAAACATTGCCAAAGAGATCCAGTAACATAAGATGTAAAGATAATAATGGTTGAACTCCTGTGGAAAAAAATTGCTTTGCATTGTACCAAGAAAAAACATGCAGGACAAATATTTTAATACAACAGGGCAGGCAATCACTTAGATTTAAAAAAGAATGCAAGACTTTGAAAGTTTTATATGCACATAAAGTGAAATATTATCATACTGCCACTCCAGCAGTAAATTTGAATAGAAGAATTAGAACAAATTGCATTTAAATATATACAACAGTTTACATAAGATAGAATACCTTAAGAGCACCAAAAACACGGTTTCCAGTTGTTGTTCTAATGAGGCCAACATCAAGGAGAGCACGGAATGGCCTCCTGCTCTCTGCTGGTTCAACTGAGAAATCCTCTCCAGTTGCCTAACAATACAAGTAGTTCTATCATAGGTAAATCGTTGTGGACAACGCTGCAAATCAGAAAAATATGAAATTATCGTGAACCACTTTCACAATGATACCTCCACATTGCCTTGATACTCATCATCCATCTCAAGCATTTTCAAGACGCGTCGTGCCAAGAGAAGTCCAGTACAGTATGCTGATCATAATAATTAAAATCAATTATCCAAAATGATGTACAATGTACACAAAGACAATTTAGAGAAAAGGGGAGAACTGAGTTGTCATACCTGCAGCATAATTTGTAAGACCTACTTCAAGTCCATAATGAGGTAGCTCATGGGCATATGCTGCGGCAAGAACCATATCACCAGCAATAGTAGCAGATATTATTTGTGCGGTAATATCCTTGTTAGTCTGATAGCAAGATTAAGGCTAACAATGGATAATATGCATTAACTACACTCACCAGTCACCACACCCAAAATAATTAAATCACTCTTTTACCATGCTAACTAAGTTCAGACGTTACTCCAGGACGGGAATTCTCATGCTTCAGTTCAACAATAAAAGAATATTGTAAGTAAACTAGAATATGTATTGCCTAGTAAAATTGGACATTTTGTTGCTGTTGAGGGGGAGACAGCACATCATAGAATACAAATTGCACATGAAAAGGATACAAATCGCACAACAAAACGATACTTTGGAGTGTTATATTTGTTCTTGTCCTGATTAATCAAACGAATCCTTGCCCGATAGTCTGTCTTCCCCTCTGCATATGTTTTAAGCAAAAAACACCATTACTTGGCAAATAATCTTAGACTCGTAGCAACTAACTGGGAATACAAATACCATACCTCTCCTTCTCTTGAACTTAACCTGAAACCGCTTAAAGTAGGCCCTCGACTTTTGTGCTTTGACAAACACCTGAAGAGAAAAATAGAACAGGACAAGAACTTAATTGAAAATAGACCAATAAAAACAAAAATCAGATACAAGCCACTAACAAGAATTCCATATGATTAATTATTTAACTAAATACCTCACCAAATAATATAACTAATTGAGCCAAGAAATTCAAAAATTATAATACATGAAGCAAATGACATGTCAAACATAGCAACTTGACCAAAAAAAAAAAAAAAACTTAAATTCTAATACATCTGGACAAGTCAGAGGAAACAGAAAGAAAGTGATAGCATTACATGTCAGAGAAAATAAATAATATCGCTATTCCCTTCTAAGAAAAAAGAAAAGAGGGATGGCGATATTACTTAGTCTTGTTTGAAATAGGTAGTGAGGGAAGGGAAGGGAAATCATTATTTAGTAATGTTCGTAGAAAAACAAACTATATATTCACTTATTATGCCAAAATCGGTACATAAACTTTGTTTGATAAATCAAAATCGGTACATAACTGATAACCAATAGCTCCTTTATCTATATCATCAACTTCCTACAATTTATGGGAGGATAGCAAATACATTTACTCAAACAAGCCCATCATTTCCTCTCCTCCCCTTTCCCTCCTCATTTCTAAGCCAGGTGTCATATAACCCCTCCTTCCTTTTCCTTTCCTACCAACTATATCAATCCAAATACACTATTGACATACCAATAATGAAGACATGGAAAGAGAAAAATACTCTCTGTATCTATCCACATGAGCATTACTCACCAACATACAAAAAGTCCACATGCGCTATGTAAGTTTTCACCAAAATTTATAAGTTTTCAATAAAATTTATAAGATTTCACCAAAATATAAGGCTGTGTTACACGCCTAAAACCAAAACCCAGTAACCAAATAAACATAGGCATACCCATTAAGCTAAAAGAACCTACAAAAAAAACTGCACTTTAGAGACTAAACATAGCTACATCAAAAGTTCCCATTCAGAAAATAAACATATAAACAAAATTAATAGAATATTTAGAATAAAAAATACTCTATAAAACTTAACCCAGAGCTAAAAACCAGCATTACAACGGAATTGACGAAATTGAGACTATAAATCTAACAAATCCAGATCCAGATAAAAGTCAGAAAGAAAACCCACATTCAAATACGTTTCGGGTTCCAGAAAGGAAAAACTCAGCTCAGCTAGGTCAAATAGTCTTAGACACAGTTCAGTGGAGGTTTTGGTTTCCTCAGAATCCAAAGTCCTAACTGATACACAAACTAAAATCGGAGATTCTCTTTCTTTTCTATTCCTTTTGATACATTTTCATACTAAACAAACAGGAAAAAACCATTGATGCAATTCGTGAGGGCTCGTATGTATGCTTATATGTGTTTGTGTGTGTAAAATCACGTTTACATATGATATACAACCAAAACCAAAACCAAAACCAAACCAAAGTAATATGGTGCTTACCATTGCAGCTATGCGTGCGGAGACTTTGGAGGTTGATGCGTCTTTCCAATGGAAGAGAGGCGAATGAAAACCACTGAATGTATATAAATAGCGGCAGAACCCTAAAACCTATTTGGCTAGCAAAATTACAAATTTGGACCTGAAATTAATTGAAAAGACTTAGGGTCTGTTTGGTATTATACATATTATTTATTTATCATTATTTAAGCACATAAGCAGTGTTTTATGTTACGTTGTTTAAAAAATGCTGAACTTATTTTGAAAAATATATATATACAGATATTCTCTTTGTTAACCTTAAAACTGTTTAAAGTAAAATACAACTCAGTAACTAAAAACGTTAAATGTTTTTTTTCTTTTCTCTTTTTTTTTTTTTTTTTTTTTTTTTTTGTATAATATATACATAAATATTAGTTTGGGACTTTTGAGTGCTCATGTTTATTCAGTGCTCTTCAAACTCAGACTTAAAATAGGGTTTACTTCACGAGCATATAGACTATTTCTTTTTTTCCTTCAAGTTGATTAAACATTGGTTCAAGCATGAGTTGATTATACTTCTTTAATTGAGACCAATTAGGAGCAATAATTAAAATGAGAAGACCAGTAAATAAAACTTATTAACATATATTTGTTTTTTTCTTATTTAAAAAAAAAAAAAAAAAACCCAACTTTCATTACTTTCTTGAATAAACAATCTCAATAAAAGATTAAGTAATCTACTACGAATTAAGTATCCACTTTCACCACCCATATGCCTGCCATTCAAGTATTTAACATATCCATCAAAGGAGTGAATGCAGAAAGATTGAGGTTCAAATCCAAAGGGGGTGTGAGTTTCTTACCAAAAAAAAAAAAAAAAAAAAAAAAAAAAGAAAAATAAACTACATTTTTTTTTTTGATAAGTAAAAATGAAAAATAAACAACATGGGGCCAAGTTTATACCAACATATGAAATACAATTGGAGGACACCAAACTAGGGGTGCAACTTGGGTTAGGCAACTCGAACCCAATCCGAGCGCGCCTGATTTTTTGTGGGCTTGAACAATTATTTTTACAAATAGGGCTGAGTCTAAATTAAAATTTTTTAATCCAAATTTAATTAGGGTTGGGCTTAGGTTGAAGTACTAGTAACTCGAGCAAACCCGAACCCGAATTCTAAAATTAGTTTCATATATATTTTAAATTTTAAATACATTATATATAATATTTAAACTATGATTACCTTTTTTTCTTTACAATTTCATTTGTTAAATCTTAACTTATTGTATCTTAACATTTAAGACAATTAATTTTCTAAGAATTTGTTTGTAATTTATTCAAAATTTATAAAATGTCTTTAAACTTTTTTTTTTTTTTTTAAGAGTACTTTAATCTAAAACTAATTCAAGATCATATTAAATTTTTTGTATGAAGATTAGTTATATGAGTAATTTGAATTCACCCCAATTTTTTTCATGAAATCTAAGTCCAAGTTGCAAGCCCGAATTTAAAAGTAGAAGGATGAATTGGGCTTGGGTTGAGTAGTTAGGGTTGAACATATGGTTAGGTTGGACTTGAGTTTAGCATTTTATATGGTGGGTTAGGCTCAAGTTATACCTCAAACCCGCCCAACCCGCCCGAGTTGCAGCCCTACACCAAACCAACCTCCATAAGACCAAGGGAAAGAAGAGAGCATTGAAGCTCCTATTAGGGATATCAACTATCTCCAACTTACTCTTAAGTATAGTTGTTATTGAGACTTAAATTTCTCATTTAGCATACACATAGGAAACACCATCATCTCACAAGTGTATATGGAGATAACAATACACATTCACGCACAACACAATATTTTATATATTTTACCAAATTTTAGGATTACGTCCATGGAGGGAGAGATTCAACCATTATGAATCAAGGAAGAGAATATACACATATATGTCAAAACCCCACTCACTCGCTCATCATCATTTTTGAGGCTACATCTTACATTCAGGAATTACATATACTTTCTCTTTTCCTTTACAACACTCACTCTTTTAACTCCTTACATCTTTCATCTTTCTCCCTTTTTTTCTTTCACGTCAATCTATCTTTATAGAGTCTTCAAACACAATAATTCCATAACTTACCTATAAGAAGTTACTATATCACTCCTGCTCCACAATTTCCCAAACGGAATAAGAAACTGTTTTCTGCACATGTATCAGACATGATGGACAAGTTTGTAATCCTTGAAGGGGTCTAAATAAGACAATTCTTTCAATCTTCACTCTTCACCCCAGATGAACTGCTTTACATAGCTTGGATCGGTCCACTCTTGCCAAAACTCTGCTCGCACGCTGAATTCGAGTCATAAAACTCAATAAGCTCCACATTGGCTCTAAATCCATTTTCACGCGCTCCTCGATCTATAACTCTTCCTTGACCAAAAATCTTTCCACCTTGAATCAAACCTTGCTTCATTCATTCCATCCCATACTCGCCCTATCTTGAGAACTAACACCTACTCTTTAGCTTGTCCCCAAAATGTGGTCCTTATGGACTGAAGTCTTCACACCATCATACCTTCGTGCCATCAACAACTCTGATTAAATCTCCATAGTATTCACGATCATCCTTTAGCTCTGATAGACTTTATACCACCATCTTTCACTCTGATCTTCAGGACTAACCACAAGCTCTGACCAATCATCGGCTCTGATACCAGTTGTTAAGGATATTAACTCCTCCAACCCATTCCACGATTAGTTGTTGTTGAGATAAATCCCTCATTCATCACACGCAGCGGAAACATCGTCATCACATAATCACATAAGCATATATAAAGATAACAATCATATATATTCATGCACAACACAATATTTCACATGGTTCACCCAACTTTAGAGCTATGTCTATGGAGAGAGATTTTTATTATTATGAATCAAAGAAAATAATATACAACCAGTTGTCAAAACCTCACTCACTCAATCATCATCTCTTTTGAGGTTACATCTCTATGCTCATGGATTACATATACTTTTCCCTCTCCTTACAACACTCACCTTTTCAACCCTTTACATTTTTCCTTTCTCTATCTCTATCTTTATCTCACACCAATCTCTATTTATAGAGTCTCCAAACCCGATTCCTTGTTGATCAAGAATTTGATAATTTGCCTACTAGGAGTTACCATATTAATCTTGCTCTACAACTTCCTAAACGGAATAGAAAACTATTTTCCGCACATGTACCAGGCATGATGGAACAATTTGTAATCCTTGGACCGGTTTAAATAGGACAGTTCTTTCAATCTTCGCTCTTTACTCCAAATAGACTGGTTCATGTAGCTTAGATCGGTTCACTCTTGCCAAAACTCTACTTGCACACTGAATTCAAGCCACAAAACCCAACTATCTTCATTTTGGCTTAAAATTTATCTTCATGCGCTCCTTCATAGATCCACAGTGACCAAAAATCTCTTTACCTTGAATCAAACCTCCTATTGCTTCCTTCCTTCCATCCCGTACTTGCTTTAGCTCTTTGGCTTGTCCCAAAAACTTATTCCTCATGACTTATGTCTTCGCACCATCATACCTTCATGTCATCATTAACAGTCATTGAATCTCCATAGCACCCACGATCAACCTACAACTCCGATAAACTTCATACCACCGTCTTCGACTTTGATCTTTAGTAATAACCACAGACTCTGACCCACCATCGGCTTTGATACCAGTTGTTAGGGTTTTTAACTCTCTCCAACTCATCTCACGATCGGCTATTGTTGAGAGTTAAATCCCTCATTCATTACACAAAACAGAAACATCATCATCACATCATCATACAAGCATATATGGAGATAACAATCACATACTTCCACGCATAACACAATATTTTACATGGTTCACCCAACTCCAGGTCTATGTCCATGGAGAGAGATATTTCATTATCATGAATTAAGGAAGATAATATACAATTAGATGTCAAAACCACACTCATTCACTCATCATCTCTTTTGAGGTTACAATTTTACGCTTAGGAATTATATATACTTTACCTTTTCCTTACAACATTCACCCTTTCAACCCCTTATATCCATCATCTCTCTCTATTTCTATTTATAGAGTCTTCAAATACAATTTCATGTTGGACAAGAATCCCACAATCTGCCTATAAGGAGTTCCCATATTAATCTTGTTCCACAACTTCCCCGACGGAATAAGAAACTATTTCCCTCACATGTATCATGATGGATTGATGCGTAATCATTAGACTCGTCCAAGTAGGAGTCATCACTTTTCACCCTAGATGGACCAGTTCACATAGCTTGGACCGGTTCACTCCTAACAGTACGTACTTTACTCGCACACTAAATCCAAGCCACAAAACCCAACAACTCCCAAGGTGACCAAAACAAAATTGTCATGATGTGTTATGGGTGTATTAAATCGGTGCATTGAATTTAAAATTGAAAGAAATTTAGTTTAAATTTCCAAGTTTGGTATATTTTGACTTTATATATGAAAATTGTTGTTACAACTTTGTAATGAACTATATATATTAATTTGATTGGTGGATACCCACTTTTTATTTCATAATTACTTGTTTTGATACTAATTAAGAATTTGAGTACATAAAATATTTTCTCTCTTATAATACCAAATAATCAAGAAAAACATTGAAATATATTGGACCTTTACATAAACTGGATTCAACAATTCCTAACAGAGAGTCTTCAAACTTGTTATGTCTATAATTTTTAAGACATAAAAAAACTGAAGCATTTAATCCTTTTACTGTTACTGGTCTTGTTGCTATATGGACTAATCCTATGTGTAGAAAATCGTATTTTTGCTTATTTTGTTTAAATCTCTTATGTCATATAACTGAATTATTTCGTATACATTATCTAATCATATTTTCTTGTTGATCAGTTTTGATAGAATAATCAATAAAATCAAAGGTTCCTATTTCGTAAACTTGATTAGTTGGTACTGTAGGCATTTTTCAGTAATTTAAAAAATTATTATTATTTGGCATCTTAATTTCTTCAATATTATTGACGGAAACAAATGATTGTTGTGAAAAGTTAGAGCTTGAAGAAGACATAGATCTAAGTAAAAGATTCATCTTTGT